GATCACACACACACATGAGATAAATCAGTAGACACATGTCCATTGGTTCTATTTCTCTGGAAAACCCTAATACACTGATCATTCTAATTCTCTTGCAGCTGTAAGGTCACATGTTATGTGTTATACCAAGAGAGTTTTCAAAGACAAAACTCATAAATGTCAAAAGCTAAAAATGATTCTCAAATGGATGCAAAATTTAAACTCACAATTTCTTAGTTCACAGTTGCAAAGGTTGGGAAGGAAACTTGGGGATGGGAAGCTCCTATCACACCAGGGACTAAACAGAGATGGCTTTGATAGCAGGTTCAGAGGTGAGGTCAACTCAGCTGAAACATCTTTTTAAACACAGGGTGAACAGGTCAAGTCTGGCCAGCTCACCCCTTGTCCAGTGAGGATGTTTTACATTCCTTGGGAACTACATGCTTGGGAGGAGAGCGCTGCTCTTCCCTCCAGGACTCAGCAGCAGCCACATTCTCTGGTGGGCCAGTCTTCCCAGAGTGCCCTGGGGATGATCTGCTTTGAAATACACAGCACAGGAATTGGACAAATAACCCTTGTTTGTGCAAATGCTCTGCACTTTCTCAGGGTTCCTTTCTTTTCCATCTGGAAGGTCTCCACTTCCTTTGGCTGTTTAACATCCTGGCTTGCGGGAAGGTCCTAATCATTTTTAGTTTTCAGACTTGAATTTCAATCAGTATCTTGCCATTCATAGGAATTCTGGCTCTGAAGCAACACCAAACCCTTATGGAGGGAAATCCTTATTTAAGATACTCTCTTTTGAGAAGTATGTCCTTCTATAAACACTACTCTCCTTGTTCTGCAAGCTCCCTGTGTTTCATAAATATTTCTATTTATTAAACATTCAACAACATCAAGTCATTTTCTAATATTATTTCATCATAGTCATGTTGAAAATGCAGTGTGTAAGGGTCTCTTGCATTGTCAAATGTGTCTTTCTCCTATTTGTAAGACATAGCAACTCAATGGCCATTACAATGTCTAATGATCTACTTTCTAGCAGCTTCACGTTGCCAGCATCTTCTGGAAGCACAGTTCAAGTAGAAGGCGAGGGAAGTGTAATGTACGGGTGGGCAGGGAGGTGACACAGGTGTGGGGAAGGCTTGGGAGAGCCAGGAAATCCTAAAGAAGTGGAGAGATTCCTCTATTGTGGACTTCTGTTTGTAGTGTTAGATGAACTTATATACTTATATAATTTCCAGTGTCAAAAAGATTAGAGAAGTGGGCCTCCCTGGTGGCACAGCGGGTTGAGCGCAGCGCTGTGAGGCTGTCCGCAGCCTCTGCAGCACGGGTTCAATTCCTGGCGGGCCAGAAAGATACCCACATGGCGCAGCAGACCTCTCCTGTCATGCCTGCTACTCCCCTCAGCAGTGTTTTCAGTCCATCTGCCTGTTCTGCTCCCTGCTCTGTCTCTGGTGAGTTCTCTCATCCTCCCGCTCCTCTGGCCTGTACCCCAGTTCTTGTATAAATAAATAAATCTTTTTTAAAAAGATTAGAGAGGAGAAGGTGAAGAGAAAGACTTGATTCATCAACAAGCTTGATGTTGCAGTTTTGAGTCTGAAATCTGTAAGCCTGACAGCTAGATATGCAGGCAGGGTTTCTATATTTCAGTTTAAGCTCTCTGTCTATAATATTCATGCCACACCTGTCCTCACTTATATTTTTGAAACAGAAAATTGCATCCTTTTTTAATTTAAATTTTATTGTGGTATAATTAATATAAATTAGTTTCAAGTATACAGCATAATGAGTCACTAATGTATATATTGCACAATGATTACCATAAAAACCTCGTTAACATCCATTACCATACACAGTTACAAAATTTTTTTTCTTGTGATGAGAACTTTTAAGATCTACTCTCTTAGCAACTTTCAAATATGCAATACACCATTATTATGTATATTATCATCTTATGTATATTACATCTCCAGGACTTGTTTTATAACTGGTAATTTAGATTTTTAGACCACTTTCACACATTTCACCCTTCTCCTACCCTCTCCCCCTAACCCATTCCTCTGCCTCTGGCAAACTGAGGGTTATTTTGGTTTGGGAGATATTTTGTGTGGGTTTTTTTTTTTTATTTTTTTTAAATTCCACATATAAGTCTCAAGACCAAATAGAACAGAGTTCTGGTTGAGCAGATGCTTTTCCCCAAAAGGAAGTTTCTGCAACAATCTTTAGCTGTATCACCTTTCAAAGTCAGCTCTTTCCCTCCTAGGAAACCCTGGGCCTAAGCACTTGTTAGTCCTTCAGTGTAGGGTATAAAATCTTCCAGTGCATCTCCATAATAGAAAAAAATGTGTGTGCTTATGTGTTTGTGTGTTTAATGAGAAGGGACTTATATGACATACATCATTGAAATTTATATCCATTTGGAGAACAAATTCTCACTTCCAACCTATCTATGGTATGAGTTGAATATCCCACATATTAACCTGCAGCTATTATTTATATGGTAACAAATGGAGTTAATGAACACCATGTCAACAGAGCAAAGAAGGGTAAACACTGTGTAGGTTATTTGAGAAATCATCTGAAAACCAATGGCAAATCCTTCTGTATGTTGCAATCATGCGATGGGGTGACCTCACTATCCAAAGATTCTCCCAAAGCAAATGGCACAAGAAGAATTCAGTAAATGACTTCTTCCTGCCGGTGGGTTCAGTAAAATAGAACTTATTAAATGAAAAGTGGTCAGTTTAAACTGCATGTTACAGATCTCAATTAAGTGCAATCATCCAATTGTTTTCTTTTTTATTAAACCACTTTTTTTTTAAAGATTTATTTATTTATTTATACAAGCACTGGGTACAGTTAGAAGTGCAGGAGGGTGAGAGAATTCACCAGAGCCAGAGCGGGGAGCAGAACAGGCAGAAGGACCGAAGTACACTGCTGAGGGGAGCAGCGGGCGGCAGGAGAGGTCTGCGCACCATGTGGGACCCTCCTCCGGTGACGGGGGAGAAGCCGGGGATCGAACCGGTGCTTCAGAGGCTGCGGGGCAGCTTCGCAACCCAGCGCTCAACCGCTGCGCCATGGGGGAGGCCCTCATCCAATTGTTTTCTTAAAGAATGTATATTTGAAATCATGTGAACATTTTGAAAATTTACTTTAAAAAGTCATTTGCTCTGAATCATATATTGGGAGACAGTGAAGGGGGAAAATCATATGAAGTCATTCATAAAAGGCCATAGGCAATTACCCAGTCGTTTTACTTCAACTCCCATGTACTGCTTTAAGGGAATGGCCTTGAAAATGTTCCTTATTATTAATGTTATTTATGTTAAAACATAGAGGTCTATTTTTCAAGGCTCAAAGAAAACTAAATCGCATCTCAACAATATGTGGTGCTGTTATAGGACAGGGAGAGGGGCAGCCCAAAACCCTGCAAACCTGCCTATTCTAAATGCGTTCTGCCATCCGCCGCATCAACACAAAACATAGGAGACTTTAATGAAAAGGAACTTTAATAAAACTAGGAAACAATACAGGTAAGGCAAAGAATCTAGTTTCTAAATCAAGCACCCAAAGTTACCCGTCCCCTCGTGGGTAAAAGTCCATCCAAATGGGATTGGCCCAGAGCAAGGCCCCAAGGCCTGCCACAAGTCTAAAGCATCTTCCAGTGGGGACCCACAGAAAAGGGTCAGACACAACCAGACAGGCCCGGAAGGAAAAGAGCAAAATCAACATCAAGATAAAAGCTGCCATTGTCACCTCCCCACGGGTCTCACCCACATCTGTGTCACCTAGTCCACGACCAAAAGACAAGCGCAGTTTCTTCACGTGTCTCTAGGCTCCATGCGCCTCCTCCAGGTCTCCTGGCTCCATCCTGCTTCCTTCCTCAGTCTCTTCTGCTTCTCCCCTTCCTGCTCAGCTCCACCCTCCCTTGGGTGGGGCAGGGAACCTCCCCCTTTCCTGGGGACCACCCTGTTACAGTGCTACCCAGTCATTTTCATGACTTGCTTCTCCCAGCACCAGAAAGAAGAAAGTAATTTCTCAGTCGTCCTGGAGCAGCGTCCTGATGCGGCGAAGCCTCAAGCGACAGCCAAGCAGAGGCAGATGCCCAGCAACCTTGCCTGACCAAGACACAACTGTGTCTTCTCAGACGCTCAGGTCTTTGAAGTTCCCCACTTGCAAATCAAATATAAATTCATGCTTTATGGCTCCTTCGTGACTAAAAATGTTAGATGGTGTTTCCAAAATATACAACATGCCAGAAAGGAATAGGTTTGGGCCAGGGAAGACCTCAAAATGAAGGTGGTTTGTGAGTAAAGACTGAAAGAACATAATAAGCAATTCCTGTAGATATTTAGGGGAATTTCCTTCCAGGCTAAGGGAACAGCAGGTGCAAAGGGACTGGGATTGGGGCGAACCTGGTATGTGGAGCGAAGGCTGTGGCTTGGGGGGTGAGATAAAACAGAACTTGCAGGAGGTCCAGCAGGTGGTGACTGGAAGAGTTTATCTTGCTTTGTCATCGAATCTGATTTCTTGAAAGGGTGGAGCTCGAACCAAGCAAGCAACCATCAGGACTGCACACAGATGCCCCTCCAGCAAAAATAAGGGCTTCACTGATCACCTTCTCCCCTACGCGCACACAAGCCACTGCGGTGTCAGCTCAACAGCCTTTGTTGGCAACCCAAGAGCCCCCATTACACCAGAGTCCAGGCCTTCGCCCGCACTTTGGACTCTCCCTACTGAGCCGGTGCTGCTTCCTCCAAGCACCTCCTAGCCCTCAGGGTGGTCCCGGGACTCCCGTTAGGCGCCAATCTCCCCCGCCGCCTTCAGCTCCTATCCGAGCCCACCCTTGCGGGTAAGCCCGCCGCGGGGCGAGCGAACGAGGTGGCGCCATTGGCCGGCAGGGCGCGAGGGGCGCGCCCGGGGCGGGGCTCGAGGGGCAGACGGGGCGGCGCTATTGGCCAGCGACGAGCGAGGGGCGGGGAGGGGCGGGCCCGAAGTGCGGGGTCCTGGAGGCCCCTGGCTGCAGACGACGCGTTGCTACTGGTCGAGGACGGGGGCACAGCCCTGGCAGCGGCTTCCGGACGGCGCGATGAGTGGACGGTGAGTGATGCACGGGCAAGAGAGTTCGGGGACGGCCTCGGAGCTCCGACCCACCTTTCTTTCGCGCTCCGGGCCCGCCCCTAGCCCTGGGAGCTGGAGACTGGGCACAGGTGCCCCACGCTGCGGCGCGCACGGCCCCCTCCCCCTGCCAGTCTGGCGCATCCCGGGCCTCAGGTCCACTGCCGGGTTGGGCACTGCGCCAAGCGCCTCCTCCAAGGGGAGGACACTTTCAGGGCCCACACCTGAGCACGACAGGTAAGCGCGGCTTCAGACTACACTTCGCCCACCTTCTCTCCCGTCTAAGCCAATAACCTAGAAGCATTGGTCTTAGTGTGGTGGGGAGAGATCCAAAGCGCTTTACCACAATTCTCAGATTTCATACACGGAAAACCAGTGCCAAGAAAATAGGAGAAGGAGGGACTTGCCTCACAGTTGCCATTTATAAAGGATTTCTCTTTTTCCAAGACCTGTGCTGAGGACCAGCACAGAATGCCACCTAAAACTCCCAGCTCTGATACATTCGCTTTTCCCCATTTCAGATGAGAAAACTGAGGCTAAAAAATAGTGGTATTGACCAGTTTTACCCAGATGAGTCAGTGATGGAGTCAGGCTCTGAACCCCTGCTTTGTTGTGCCAGGTCTTATTTCATCCACCAACCTCAGAACTCACCCTGCAAGACACCTCGCTCTTCCAAGACCGCTGATTCGCACAGCCCTACACTTCCCACCTCCCAATATGCCCCTGTGTTTTCATTAATCTGACACAGCCCTGGCCAGGGGGAGAGAAGAGGGGTCCTCTCACACCAGGATCAGTGCCAGTGCTTCCCTAAAACTCTGTAAGGAGAGCTTTAGTCACCCCACATCACAGAGGAATTAAATAAGGTCACAGCCAATAAGACTGGGGTTCTGGAATTAAACCCAATCAGGTTAGATTCCAAAGCCATGCGCTTGCACTGGCAGAGACACCCTCACTGGCTTCTTTATAGTTTGTGCCCACAGCACGATCAAGACTTATTGCCAGAACCCATGATTTTAAAACAACTATAACCGAATGATAGAACAAACAGGTAGGCACAGAGCTGCCTGCGTCTAACTCCCCTGTGTAATAGTGGAGCTGCTGCCACCAGGGAGGTGCTAGGGAGGGGAAGTGGGAGGAGAGGTCTGGGAGAAGAGAAGGGGAAGAAGAGAACGGAACGGGAAGGGAAAAAGAGAAGATGGAATATGTTAAACTTCTGTTAAAAAAATTGCTGGCTGGAAATTGCAATGGGGTATGTTTCAGGACTTTGTCAGCATTGGTTAAGTCTGTTTTTGTGAGTTCTTGTTGCAATTCTCTCGCTGGAGTGCTCTTTTGTGTAGTGCTGGTGGGTCAAGACTTGACAGTGAAAGTGAACGTGGCCACAGGTTAAAGTATCAGTGCAAAAAGCGGAGGGGAAGTGGAGCTAGATTCCCCCCATGAGACACTAGAGGGTGGCCTGGAGGGCAAAAGCTACTGAAGGACCAGAATTCCCCTGGGTCGGGGTCAGCTAGGCAGTGGCACACAGCAAAGAACATACAGGACTTATGCTGGCATGTGTCAAAGTTCAGAGCCTGTGAACACAAAGCCGCAAAGGGGACACGCTGGCTGCTGGACCTACCAGAAGGTGCTCTGGATGGGACCTCTGGGGACCAGGAGCCTGGTTCTGAGAGCCAGCTCAGCCTGTGCCCTCGATCCCAGCAGTTACTGATGGGAGGACTGTTATTCTGTTTTCAGAGCCCCGCTATCTCTCCTGAGCCCCTAGCCTATAATGGGAGTTTCTTTTTATTTGGGGTAAACCCTGAATGGGACCCATCTTACATGTGTCCTCATTCACCTTTACAGCAGTGAGTGATTCAATTAAATAGCAACCTGAGGTTCAGAGAGAGAAAGGGACTTGCCTAAGATCACACAGTTTGAGAATCATAGAGCAGAGCTTTAAGCCCAGGTCCTTGTGAAGGCTGGATGGTTAGCCAATCACAAAGTACTTAAGAAAATATTTGGAAATTGTTTTAAAGTAAATTAAAATAAAATAGGAAGTAGCTGTACTTCCATGGCTTCTGTGGTTTTATTCATTCTTGTGAAAGGGGAACTTTTCAGTTTGCTCAATCTCCCTTCCTGGCTGGCTGACCTTGTCCCCAGAATGCACTGTTGAAAGAAAGATTTGGAAGTCTCTCCCTGTGTGAACTTGAGAGGTCAGGGAAAAAGTGTCATACAGCTAGGAAGAGCCCTAAAGATACTCTAAACTAGCTACCATAGAACCCTGGCTAAATGGTGTCGAGAGTTGGCACAACATGCAGAAGCCAAGTGCCAAGTTGATGCCCCCGCAAAACTCACACTCAGAATTCTCTCTGCAGTGTCCTTTGCTTCCTCTGCCTTGCTGTGACAGTTTTAGCAGAAGTCTTAACCTAGGATCTGGGGGTCCAGGAGCACATGAACAGAGGCTTCTTGATCTCTCTGCAATCGTTTGCAAATTCAGTGTGCATGTGTGTGCGTGCATGTGCATATCTACTCACACCCTCATGTGCATTTTTCTGGGGAGAAAAGTGTTAAGCTTTCAAGAAATTCCATTGGGCTTCATAACCTAGAAGATTCTAAGTTGCACCATACCTTACAGGAAACTGCCCCCCAGCAGCTACACTGGCATGCAGGACTGTGCCTGGCCAGGTGGTCAGTGCAGGTGGGGCAGCTGCAGAGCACCCAGGACAGTCCCACAGCAGCTGGCCTCCACCACTCAAGGCCCACCTGCAAGGCTATATCCCGGGCCCAGGTGATCAAGAAATTGGCTGGTGGTCATTCTGAGCAACAATTTGGCCCAAAAACCAGAGGATCCCCTCTTCCATATGCAGGAGGTGTGTCAGTTTGAAGAGTAGAGATCTCTCAGGGCCAGGGGTATGTGTGTAAGGAGGACCAGGAAGGTTGGAAACAATTTTCTTGCTCCACATTGCAATGCTTTAAAAGTTAAGTCAAAAGCCAGAAGTCTGGCCTCAGGGATCTGGGCGAGGCACTGGCCCTGGGCTGGGCTGGCAGGAAGTTGTGAGGAAGGCCAGTCACATGGGTGTAGGGGGCCAGGCTCTTCAGAGGAAGGACACTGGTGTCAGGGAGGCCCATGAGGTGGAATGGGTTCAGGGAGACATGTTGGTCGGAACTCAGCATGTCATCAGTGGGGAGGGGACCCAGGAAAGGTGAGCCGAGTCCAGGAGCCCAGGGGAGGGCAGTGAGGAAGTTTTGGTGGCTGTGAGCTTTGGTGGCTCTGTGGCCATCTCTTCTGCTCTCCCTCAGCTCTCTGTCTGGAATGTGCATGTCCTCCCGGAGCTCCTCACCCTGCTGGGGCAGGGAAGGCTGTGGCCAGGTCAGGGTAGGGCAAGGGGCAGGAGAGCTGTGGAGGCAGGAGGAGGGATAAGGATAGTGGTGTGGGAGGGGGCAGGAGCTGTAGTTGCTGAGTCGCTTCTGCCATCCACATCCCAACTGCTGGCTTTCTCTGCAAAAATGTGTTGCTAAGAGGCAGCCTGTGTCCAGGCAGAACCCTTCTCGGAGACAACTGGTAGCAATATGCACTGTAGCTTCTTCCCTGGCCAACCTCCTGCCACTTGCTGGCTAACAGGTGCAGGGGAAGCCCCCTATATAAAGTTTCCTTGTCTTAGCACCTTCCTGCTGGCCTAGGCTGGCATGTGGAAGTGGTAACTGGGCTGTACAGCAAAAAGCTTAGATTTCCCCGGGAATGCAAGGCAATGTTGCCAGGGCCTGCCCTGTCCCTCCAACCCCCCACCTCCTTCTAGTGGGAGCAGACTTGGCTGAGAGGCCCCCAGCTGTGCCCCACTTTCTCTGTCCTCCTTTCTTTTGCTTCTCATTCACTTTCTCTGTATGTTTTATTTCAATCATGCCTGAGTAAGAAAATAAGCCTAATTTTATGAAATGTTAGAACAGAAATTACCAAACTCTGATTTCACAGCTGTCCTCAAAACATTTTAATTCAGATGTTGGTACATTTTCCATTTTGCAAGCAAGGACAGCTGTCGACTTTTGTGAGTATTTTTTATTTTATGGAGAGAGGGCATGGTAGTACCAAAAATTCGGTCGTACAGTCTCGAAATAAAAGGCTTTAAATGTATTCAATTTAGCTTCATGAAAACTGTACTTCATTCACCTTATTTTTATCCTTTTGCCACTGGCCAATCAGAGTTGGGCTGTAGTGCTGATTTGCAGAACCGCAGAGAGGGCTTCATCGGTGACAATCAACTCCATGACCACAAAAGAGGAAAGCTGGGTCAAGTCTAGCAGTTGGAAAGGCTTCAGTGTCCTTTGTCCCAAATCAAAGACCAGGACAATGCACGGGCAGGCTGTGGCAGCTGCCTCCTCAGCAGCCCCTCCACATGGCTGGCAGAGCAGCCGCTGAGGTGGAAAGGGAAAACAATCCACTGTCTGTTCACTGGGGACAGGTAACCAAGGCTGGCACAGCACCCTGGGGCCCCTCCTCTGGGGACAAGGCACCCTGGCTGCAGCATAACCCTCTGGTTGGGGACAGAGTTTCCTCCAGCCTGGGAAGCAAACATGGAGGCCTGGGCTGTGTGCCCTGGGGTGGGGGGGAGGGGCGCAGGCCAGGACAAAGGAGGCTGGACTCCCAGGAGCAGCAGGGCTTGGCCTGCCGGGTGCATCTGTCACTGGTTTTCAGCTGTGCCTTGGTGGCAGGGCAGCCCAGCCTATCTTCCCCACTCCTGCATCAACCGACTTTGCTTTAATCCCTGGGCTTCTGCCTAGGGTTTTCTTTAAAGATAAGATAATACTTTTCATAGAATATTGAAAAACACTGCTAACGAGTTTCTCCAAAGTCTGCTCGAGGCAGAAGGAGAGTGAGCATTTAAGGGGCAGTTTCAGGACCATGCTCCAAATGGAGAGAAATCTGTTTGTTTTCTTACTGAGCACTTGCTCTCTCTCTCTCTCTCTCTCTCTCTCTCTCTCTCTCTCTCTCTAGTAGTTCTCTAGGATGCCTCTGAGATACATGTGCAGTTCACTGATACTGGGAATATTAAAATGGATAAAAATGCCCTCAACCTGAAGTCTAATAAAGGAGACACAAATACCCAGGGTTCAAGTTTTGCGCTGGAATTTTGTGTGTGACCCAAGAGCTCAGGACTGAACCTTGGGGAGGAGATGTTACCTACTTGGGCTCAGGAATGGGGCTTATGAGAACTGCAGACTTGCTTAGGACCACCCAGGCGATGAATGACAGAGGACACGGAAATATGTGGTACTCTCCAAGGAGAGATTGTTCTTCCATGATGCCTAGACCCCCACCCCATTAGATTTAAGACTCAGTCCTGCAAATTGGAAGAGCCCCTTTTGCTGAAGTAGGCCTTTCAATGCTTCTACCAGCCTTACTCATTTACCTTCTGCCCTCATCCAGGATGGTGAACCCCAATTTTTGTGTCTGTCAAGCTAAGCTGTTTACTCTATGAGCCATCTGCAGTCCAGTCCTCCTTCACATTCCTCTTGACTCCTTTCTCAGAGCAGCCTCCCCAGCCAATGGCATGAGTTGGAGACACTGAGCTTGTAGTTATCCCTTAAATAAACCAACTTCTGAGGATAAAGCTCTGAAGGCCAGTGTGAGAAGGCTCTCACGTGTTACTCAGCACAGTGTTTTGCAACAGCATTATCTGGAACCTCAGGCAAGGCACTGGGTGCCCCCCCTCCCCACAACCACTTACCTCCCTATCAACAAAAGCAGTCCCCAATGGTCTGATTTGCATAATTATTCCATTTGACCAAAGCATTCCAATGGTTGAGAACATTTAATCCATGAGAGGTCAATATTCTCATTATTCAGATGGGAAAATTCAGACTCAGAACAGAAAGAACACACAACTGAAGTCATGTGAAATCACAGCCCAGAGCTCTTTAGGAAGCATCCTCCATTAATAACTAATCACAGCTCAACTTAACAAGAATTCCACGTTTCAGAATTCCTGCTACATAGACCAAAATGAGCTACTCCCCACATGCTTGAGGGAATGCAAGTACTGGGGACAGTCAAGTGGTGAATCCGAAGGCACACCAAGGGCAACTTGCAAGTGTTTTGTCTGGCTGCATTTCATTTTTAACTGCATATACATTTGTTGTAACTGAATGACTTTCTGCATACATCAGAAGCACGCAAGGTCACAGGCTGGCCATTGAGAAGCTGTACCAATTAGGACGTGTGTCTTTGTAGGTCACCAAGGCAGAGGACAGGAATGCTTCAGGGTCATACACTGACCCAAATGCAGTGATGTGGAGTGATACACAGCACTTGTTTGCTGAGCTGGCCGCCTGGCCCCACATCTGCTGGAGCTGGAAGGTATGAGCCATCATGTGATCATGATGGTAGCGCTGGTAGATATCCCCACCACCTATTTTAGGCAGTGAAACATAGCCCATAAAAATTCAGGTTTCTGCTTCTCATGAAATACCAGCAGAGCTGCCCCTCTAGTGGAGGACTGAGTCTCCCATTCCCCAGGGACTCCACTAACCAGGGTCTCTCTGGCCCCTGGAGACTTTTACATGTTTTATTATAGCTGTGTATGCACAAGTCCAGGAAAGTTGACTTTTGAAGAGCTGTGAGACTTCTTGTATTCCTGTAATTTAACAGCCATTTTTGGATCCCTGCAAGATGCCAGATTTGTGATCAGTGCTGGTGACAAGTGATGAGGCAGAAAAGCAATGTCACTGCTGTTTGTACCACATACAAGTCAAAACAGGAGGCAGCCCCTACAGGGCCAGCACAGCAAGCACTGGGAACACGTACTGGGACAGGAGAGGAGCTCCTGATAATGGAGCTGAGGGCTGTTCTGGCAAGGGCTTCCTGCAGGAGGCAGTGTCAGCTATAGGACGAGAAGGAGGCTATTTTCTGAGCAGTAGACAGCACCAGAGAAGCCCAAGGCATAGAGGCACTTGGGGGAACAGTGAGCAACTCAGGCTGGAGCTCAGAGTAGGAAGCAGGAGAATTAGGGGAAAAGAGCCTACAGAAGAAGGCATGAGAAAAAAATCACCCCCTATTATTTCTGGGTAAATTCAACCCTCCCCCCATGAACTTGTTAAAACAAGTCATAGCTGTGCCGTGGACCCAGTGTTAAGTGAGAACCCCAGACACAGGTCTTACCCTGGGTGCAGTCAGGGTAAGTGTTTGAGGAACCACTCAGATCACTGGCAGATCACTTTTTCCTCTCAAGAGCTGAGGCGCTAAGGAACTGAAACCCTATTTTCAAGTCTTGGTCGCTCTGCCAAGAAGAATGCTGCTGGAAGACCCAGTTACAGGCCTCACCCTGTGCCTTGGGGAGGGAGGGGCCTCCTGCCAGCCACAGTTGGGGGCTTGACTTCTCTGCAGGCCACAACTTGCCATATTCTACACCAAGGCAGAGGGAAGGTATTCATCGGATGAGTCTGAGGACCCCGGGAGGCCCATCTCCCTCAAATCACTTCCCTTCCCCATGCCAACCATGTTCCCCCAGCCTCCTGGATCAAAGGCTCAATTCAGGGCTGATGCCAACACAGAAAACGTGTCCATGTGGCTTGTGGGTGGGGGCACACAAGCAGGGAGAAGGTGTGCTGAGCTGGAAGCGGTCAGTGCCCACGGGATAGAGTGCTTGCAGTGACAGGCTCAGCGGACATTAGTATGATAGTGAACTTGACCTCGAGCCACCCAGTAACATTTGCACACCCAGGCCAGGAAGATGAGACTGAGTTAGGTTTGTGTGAACGGGTACTGGGGTTTTGTGAAGGAACCGACCTCCGTGGTATGAAGGTCCTCCTGTGTACCCATCTGTACCACCTTCCAGTGTGACTTCTCCCTTCAGATTCCTTGCTGCAACTTGGGAGAAGGCGGGTAGAGGTAGGTCAGGATTGGAGGGTGTGTGTACGAACCTGTGACTCACTGCTGGGCGCACGGGGGTCTTGATAAGAGAGACTCCTCAGCCGGAGTAATAAGGAGTAAGAGAATTAAGAATGTGAGTGGATGACGCCAACAAGACTGGAGGGTTTTTCCTCCGTGAGGAAATCCAGGAAGGTTCTTCAAACCTCTCAGGTTGTGAATGAGGAGAAATATAAACACATGTGTGACTCCACTAGCAATCCTGCACGATAGAGATTAACCTGGGTTAAGGAAGGTTCTGGGGGGTTAAGTCATTGTCTAAGGTCAATATAGAAAAGGGGTTGAGTCCAGACTGCAGGGTCAAAATTCTTGTTCTTGTTCTCATCAGTGACTTTGCTGGGAATCTTGGGTAAAAAATGTGATTAGCTTTTCTTATCATAAAGTGGATATAGGGTGATACCGCATATGTTGTTGTAAGGAATAAATACAATGATTCATAGAAAATGCTCAATCACTGGGGGTCTTCAACATGCGGTGTATCTGGTACCAGTCAGCCATCGTGAGGAGCTGGCAAGGCCATGCAGGTTCCAGACAGCCTGGAGCCACCTGAGCATGGTGGGAATGGGGACGCAAGACCCAAGAGGCGCTGATGGTTTAGGGAGCATCATTTGGGGTATCCTGACTCTGTCAAGGGTGATCTGAAATATTTAGGAGAGTGATCCTGATTCCTGAGAATTATGACAAGGTTTTGGGAGAGGAGCTGACAGGGCTGCTACCTACTGAGTCAGCTGTGCCAACTTGTCCCACTAGGGGACACTGGGGGGCATGTGTAGATAGGTGTGGTGCCCCATTAAGTCCTCTCTAGGGGACCCTTCAGCCATGGGTGACTGCCTTGGGTGGGGGTTGGGGGTACATTATGGAGGTGGGAGGTGAGCCAAGCCTTCAGACCCCTGCATTGAGGCTCCTGGGTACTTCCCTGGCCCTTGCTCCTCCCAGCTCACCTGTTTGTCCATCCTTCCTTGTCTCCCTGACAGGTAACTTCCAAGCCTGCAGACAAGACTAGAAGATGAAGGACGATTGTCCACCCAGTTCTCATGTGCCCATTAGTGACAGCAAGTACATTCTGAGGTAAGCCTTTGTGTGCAGGGAGGAGACCTCATATCTATCCTCTTCTGTCGCCGCTCCCCTGCTCTGGGCAGTCCAGGGAGGATTCAGGACGCTTTATAGATCTAACAACATTTCTGGCCTGGGATAATGATGACGCTGACTTTTTAAGAAGCCTGTCTCTTCAGAGATCAAGAATCTTTTGGGGGTACAGGTTTGAGACCCACCTTCTTGGGCCCACAAAAGCAGGAATTTGTGATAAGACTCTGTGACTCTGTAGAAATGACATTTAATGTATTTAACAGCTATAATACTGTAATCTTACTGAGCTAGACAATTCAAGAAAATGCTTAAAACTAATTTTTAATTTTTATTGATGTAAAGTATATTTTATGACATTGATTTTTAACTCAGCTTATTTTATTTTGTTTATTCTGTCTCATCATAATACATTATTTAATATGTTTTTCTAAATTCATTTCTGAACCATGAGAAAATACAGTTTTTACTTTATCTTGTTTTTGAGGCTGGAGTCCAAATATTTTCTATATTTGGGCAACTGCTATCAGCTACCCTAAAGACAAACAGCCTCCTTGAAATAGGGCCCCTTTTGCTGAGGACCTGAAGGGGTCCTCCTACCAGAGACCCTGAGGAACAGAGGACCTTCCACCTGTCATTTCACAATGCTGCCCACGCCACCGTGTTCCTTATTTAAATTGAATCAGAAGGGCCTCCCTGGTGGCGCAGCGGTAGAGCGCTGGGTTGCGAAGCTGCCCGCGGCCTCTGCAGCACCAGTTCGATCCCCGGATGCTCCCCGGCCACCAGAGGAGGGTCCCACATGGCGCGCAGACCTCCTCTGCCACCCGCTGCTCCCCTCAGCAGTGTACCTCAGTCCTTCTGCCTGTTCTGCTCCCTGCTCTGACTCTGGTGAATTCTCTCACCCTCCCACGCTTCTGACTGTACCCAGTGCTTGTATAAACAAACAAACAAACAAACAAATAAATAAATAAATAAAAACATGCCTCTATTAAAAAAAAATCTATAAAAAAATAATAAAATAAAAAAAATAAATTGAATCAGAAAAGTATAACCATATTGAATTCATTTTGAAGAAAATTCATAACTATAACATGATTCATTTCATGTGTATTTGATATAATAATTTTTATATTGTTAGTTTTTTTACATACTGGCAAGCAGTGTACGTGCAATACACAATCCTGCTTTGTGAATGCCATGAAGTTGTAAATCTTTTCCCCTTCCTTTACCATCACACTTGGGGGACCCACGGGAGGAACATTAGGGAGGATTTTGCTCATGCACACCTTGGCCCCGGGCTAGTGTGGGTGAAGGTGCTGCCTGAAGAGTGTCCTGTTGTCCAGCAAGGCCCCCCCAAGCCAGCTGTGGCTACCAGCACATGCCTTGTGGCTAGAGAGATGTAGTTACTGTGACACTCCAGGTGGCAAATAAGTCATATAAAATAACATAATGAACAGATCACATTAATAATTTTATATTGATTACATGTTGACATGTTCATATTTTAGATATATCTGGTTCAATAAAATGTGTTATTAAACTAATTTTGCTTGTTTTGTTTTCCTTTGGAATGTGACTACTAGGAGATTTACAATTACATGCGTGGCTTGTGTCTCCCATCTTGTTGGCCTGTGCGGCCCAGGCTGGCTGCAGGGAGCCGTCCATCTCTTTGCCACACCCCTGCCAAGACCCACGCAGCAGCTTCCCCATTACTCGGGGAACAAAGCCTCTGGGCAGCAAGGCCCCACAGAGACCTCAGGAGTTCTCAGGGCTGTCCCCTCGTCCCTGACCAGACCTCCAGAAAGTCCAGTAACCACAGCAGCCACCCCAGCCCCTGCTGGAAAGTAATATGAGGAATAAGGCAAGAATCTTTAAAATGTCAATTACCCAAGCCCAGGAGGTTTGTAATGAGGAAGTGACTCAGGGTAAAGTGCAAGGAGATTGCAAGGAGCTCTTATCTGTAATAGTGAAAGTGTGCAAATACCATAGCTGTCCAGTGACGTGGTCCTTCTGTGAGTTTCATTTCCTTCTCAGCCCCTCTCCATGCTATCCAGAGGGCTGCAAGGCAAAATCCTGAGAAGGCCAAAGGGCATGTGTCAGATGGCAGAGGCTAGCCTTGCAACTGATACTGCGCAGCTGGTAGGATGTGAACTGTTCTGACCATTTGACCAATGAGAAAACTGAGGTCAGTAATGTCAAGGGGCTGTGCAAGACCCTTGAGTCTGTGTGTGTGTTTACCATTTTAGGTCAGAGCTCTTAAGCCTGCTGAAAACCTACAACTGCTACCATGAGGGCAGAAGCTTCCAATTGAGACACCGAGAGGTAAGGTCCTTTTCTCTTCTTAACTCATAGGGTCACCTTTTATCCTAGTTTACTAAAGATATTCCTGATTGATTCCTGTTATTGCAGTGTGCTTGTTAATTAAGATAATCCTCTTCACGCTCAGAAGTGTCCCCAGTTAGATAACAGATTGTTTGGTCATCCTTATCACCATTCCCTGACCAGGGGACCAGGTTATCGGCAGCCAGGTTTTGAGGTCCCTGTAAGAGGTGCTGAGGGTTGGAGCATCCCTGGGAAATTTCAGGGCAGGTAGAAGTCTCCTTTCAGGCTTTCCCCTCTGCCTGGGATTTGATCTGGGTGAATTGCTGGGACATTGGAGTTTCAAATCTTTGAGGCTGAACGGCCCAGCCTTCCCCTCCCCATCGAGGAATGAAAGCGGGGCCTCTGTGCGTATCGATCAGAGTAAACATCAGAGGAAAGACTGGGAATAGAGGCGAGCTCCCTGAAGGATGCTCAGGGCCAGGTGGGTGCAAACAGAAAGGAGGGCATGCACAGATTGCGGAGAACTTGGGAGAGCATGGTTTCATCCACTGCGGCTGCTGCCCGAAAATCACACCCAGCGCCGCTGTGCAGAAATGTGGGCTTGGTACAGCGAGACCCTTCCTAATTTTTTACAAGAAGCTACATATCTGGAACTCATATGGAATTTCCCAAACCTTGAAACCCCAAGTGGACTAGGCAAACACATCTGGAGGCCACACAGCCTGTGGGCACCAGCGAGACTCGGGGAGCAGCCGAGAGTGGCTCACCAAGCAGATGAAGTGAAGGCCTGGTGTTGCCGCCATCCAGAACTTTCACAGGGGACTCCTGATCAAGGGGGCTTCTTGGGTCCAATTGGGGCTCCACTTTGGTCCAATTCATTTTATTTTTAAAGTCTACTAAGGAGTCTTGTCACGATAAGGTTTTATTTAGGAGTTTTCCAAGGTTGAGATAGGGTTGGCCCAGACCTGTCTCCAGCCCGTCAGTATCTGATGGGGGCTTCATGCCTCCTCCAAGTCCCTATCCTGTTCTTAAACTTGGGAATGGGCACCATAAGCCCAGTCCACCTACAGAGACCTCATCCAGGTGGAGACCACTCTGCTTACTCATTATTTCTTTCTTTACTTATTCAAATGGCCTCACATCCTTTTGGGGCTTCCAGACTAAAGGGTGAGCAGCTGGAGGTTGCTTACTAGTATCTACCTGCGAGATAGCCTCAGTTGGCCTGAGGTTACCTGTGAGCCAGGACAGGCCCAGCATTACACAGTTCAGCAGGGAAGCTACTGTACCCTGGTGAGGTGGTACGAGGCTATTGGTGATGACCTAGAGTGGCCCAGACTTCACCTTCCACCTCCCCTTGACCTGCCCATCCCACACAGGACCTTAGGCCAGCCCTGACAACTTGTTCCCCACCCCCACTGCACTGCACCTGCTCCCTTTACCAGTCTGGCCTGGCCTGGCTCCCTATGCTGCTGGCAGGCCTCTGATCCCACCCCCTGCTTTCTCCAGTCCTGCCCTTTTCTTCCTTGAGTGTCCTGCTTCTGAATGCCTCCAGGCCAGGCACAGCATGGCACCTGCCCGTAAGTGTTGGATGGGTAACCAGCAGGAGTAGACCTGGATCATGCTGGATGAGTTCTCAGCTATAGTACGCTGTGAAGTTTTGATCCTGGAGGAGCAGGGAGTTAGCTCTTGTGCATGGGGATGCGGTGGGGTCTTCTGGCTGGGCTGTTCTCTTTAGCTCTGGGTCATTCAGGGATTGGTCTATTATAGGTTCCCCAGCAGCTTCAGCATCACCTGGGAACTGGTTAGAAGTACAAATTCTTATCACCCTCTACCCCCCACCCCCAGGCCTGCTGAATCAGCAGCTCGTCATCCCTCCATCCATGTTTTCACAAGTCCCCCAAGAGGCTCTGATGGCTGAGTTTGAGAACCACTCACCTAAAAGTGCCATCTTGGCACTTGGGAAACCCAGTGTCCCCCTCCTCTGTAGGGAAAGCCATAGGGAGAATGGTACTGGGGAGTCCCAAACCTGCACTCTACATTTGTGTGTTTCAGTCCACATGAAGAAGTAGGGACCCGCAATGGGGAAGAGCTGTTCTCAACAGCTCCCTGAAGTAGGAAGTTAACATCCCATAGGGGAGAGTTGCATGTTCCCCACCCTAAAATTGTGAGGATTGACTTAATCTTCTTGGAGACAGAAAGTACCTTTCAGATAACTTATGCAGATTTAACAGACAAAGGCACACTGCCAGGGCAGGCCACAAGCCTGGGAGCCATGGAGTACTGATGTTGAGCTGCATGACTGGTTCCTGGGTTGTCATGTCCTTTGGTGACCCACCCACACCCAGCTTTCCAGTCTCTGCAATTTCTTGGTTGCAGATACGGGGCCTCCTGAGCTCAGAAGCTCTCAGTTCCAAGCACTTGCTGTAGGCCCACCCCAACGTGGGCATGTGAGGGGGAAACAGTTGGGGGAACTGAACCATTCCTGGGCACCACCAATGCACCAGCCACTTTGCCTCTATCTTCTTTACGATAATAGAATCAGAGATCAAGGCTCTCGGATTGTATCTTGTCCAACCTGACACTGCCATAAGTGACAAATGCTGGGGTGGGTCTGGGCCCTGGGCACGTGAGCTTATCATATTGCAACACCACTGCCAGCTTTAAGCTGTGGAGTTCTTTGAAGAGCTCCACTGAATATCACTTACCAGACCTCAGGGATACAGGGAGTTGTTCATCACCCTGGACCTCCAAGCACTGGTACCTTCAGACTGCAGAGGGGCGCAGCACTGGTCTCCCCTCACAGAGAGCTCTGTGGCTTTTAAAGAGACCCCACTTCCTGCTCTGTTGTAACTGGCCCTCCCCAGTGACAACTGTGCCCTGACTGCTAGAGTTTGGGGGCAGCTCATGCTCCATTGTCTCATCTGTGGCCCGTAGAACTTGGAGAGATGGCTTGTGTCAGTGTCCGGCCACGGCCCGAGGCAAGCGTTTCTCTCTGAACCTTCCCCCAGCTTCCAGAAGGCTGGGGAGAGGAATTTCCCACCCAGGAAGCCAGGGCACTGTCTTCCTTTATTGTAAACCTTGCCTTTGGGATAATTTTGCTTCTATTGCAATGAAAAGTGTAACCTACTAGGAGCAATCTGTGTCTTTTGAAACTGGCAAAGCCCTTACCCAGTCTGGTTGACTACTCGGGAGAAAAAAATGGGCCACCTGGAAATGCCAGGGAGCAAGTACAACACTGTGGGTGAACTATGTGAGGTCGAGGTAGCAGAAGCCTCACTACCCAGCGTGCCAGTGTGGGCCCTCTGCCAACCTGCCTCCCACCCCATCCATGCTCAGCTCTCAGTGTGCTGGCAGCTCCCCCTGGTGGCCCTAAGAATGCACCACACTCACTGACAGTCCTGCCCCAGGTCCACTGTGCAGGATAGGAAAGGGAAGGAACTTCCAGAGCCTAGGGTCTCTATCTGTCTTGGAGGAGAGGGGAGAATTAGGATCCCCTTCCCTCTCATAAGTATCTCCCTTCTTCAAAGGCCCATGGGCAGGAATGAAGGATGGCTGACAGACCACTGGGTCCTGGGTGCATAATGGGGTCCATGGAAATCTGTTTCCCTGGGAGCCCTAGGGCTTCCCAGCCCACCCCTCTGGGTGGGACCTGGCTCCTTTCCCTACTCCAGTAGTGAGTGGAAGCAGAACGAGACTGCGCTATCCCCCCTGCCCCCCTGTCCCCACAGGAGGATCATCTGCTAGGTTGTTCTGTCCTGTAGGAGTTTGGGATACTGTCAGAAGCCTGTCTCCAACCCTTTATTGTGTTTATTTCTTAGTGCCTTCTGAAGATGCCATTAACTTCCTTCACCTTAGAGAATTATTAATAGAGAAGCCCAGAGCCTGGTGTCTCTTGATACCTGTGTAACCTCTGCAAATGCAGCAGTATGTTTTCTGAGCTTAGGGGGAATTGTCCACACCATCCTAGTTGTCTCCCTCTGACCTGAGTTTTATGCTGCTTCGCAGAAGGGGCTGCAGTGAGGCTGGGAGAGTGAACCCAACCTGTCCAGTCACCAGCCACGCACCCACCCACCAGCCAGCTCCCTCCCCACACCTCCTAGGGACAGGACGTTCTGTTTGAAGGCTGCCCAGCAAGTATTGTATTTGCCAAGGTCAAACACAGCAGGTTGTGGCAGACACAAACATCTGTATACAGTGCTTATAGCTCTGCCTCTAAGTTCATTTGTCCAGGTTCCCCAATTCCTCTAGGATATGAAGAACAGGTGGTTGTGCCCACTTTACAGATCAGGAAATGAGTGCATTTCTTGTCTGAATATTTTTTTTTCTTTTAAATGTATGGTTTACATTCTGCCTCCCCGCAAAACACCTATAAGAGAAGACAGATAAACATTTTAAAAGTCCAAATCAATTTTAAAATAACCAATGGGGAACATAGGGGGAGAAAAGGAAAGGAAAGGAAGGAAAGCCGTTTGTTAGTCCACAGAGCAAGAAGGTACAAGAAACTGAAGCAGGTATGTGAGCTTTGCCACTCTCTGCCCCATCCTGACCAGGATCAGCCAAGCCCGAAGAAGTGGGGTGACAAGTCCTCAGCCCTGAGTATTCTGAGTTCTCTGAGGCCACATCTGCCTCTAGGAGGAAGACAGTCCTCCCTCTCTACTGTTCCTCACCATTACCGCCTTGCTTGCCAGATGCCTTCAGGAACTGGGGTTCACCAGGCTGTGGGGAACTGGACCTTAGAACATGTGGAATAATCAAGGACTTGCCTGAGAGTGGGTAGTGGGACAATGGCCTGCTCTTTGCTCCACAGCTGAGAGGTCCCAGGGGTGGAGGCAGTGGGATGGGAGGGTTGGGGACAGGACCACCTGGTCCAGACATTTTGCTCCTTCACACTAAGCCAGAACAGCTTCTGTCTTGGCCCTCTGCATGGAGAAAACTCTCCTGATGGTGCAGGATATGTGAATTGGTGCTCAGTGACAGGTCCCCAAAACACAGCAGGTACATTCGCTGAGACCCTCTGTTTTCTCTTGTGCCTCGTGGAACCTGGGCTCTGAGGGTGGAGCCAAGGGACTGGCTTAGAGGTCAGGCCTCATTTTGAACCAACTGGGAGGCTGAGACCTTCATTTTTTCATTTCTTCTCCACCCCACCCCCCACCAACTTGTTTCCCCACCTGTGAAGCAACTACATCCATAATAGCTGTTTGTGTGTGAGTTGTGATTTTTGCCCTGTGATCTATGTGAATTTTAGACCATTTACTCATCGCAGGTTCCAGTCATTACCCCTGTTTTACAAACCAGGAGAAAACCAAGGAACAGAGACAGTAAAGAATGCACAGTGATCAGCCAGAAAGAAGTAGTGCAAACGGGATGAGTGTCACCTCATCATGTGAGATAGGCTGTTACTGCCTTTCAGAGTAGGGGTCTCACCATGAATTGCCAACACCCTGCAGAAAGTTTCCCTTGCCAGGGCCAGTGCCCACTCAGGGAAGGGAAGGTGGGGAGTTGACACAGACCTGCATGTTCTTTCCAAAAGTCTTTATTGGGGAGGGGTCAGAGTTCATGGATCACTGGGAGGTGCAAATAGAGAGTTCTAAGGACACTGTTGGGGTGCGAGCTGATGGGGGAGGCTACAGCCTGGACAGACTGTCCCAAAGCCCGGGACCCCTGGTGCCAGCCCCTGGACAGTTTTTCCAGAGAGTGCCCTGGCACCCTGGCATCACTGAGCCTGCCTCTGGGAGCCACCTGGGCCTTGCTGCTATCCGTCTGCTTGTGTGAACCCCAAGAGTCAGCAGATGGGCCAGTCCTCCGTGACAGGTCATTCCTACTTGGCAGTTTTTCCTGGGATTCTCCAAAGAGCCAGTCCAAGGGGTCAGCAGTGCCAGCCCCAGGCAGTGTGGGCTGCTGGCCACTGAAGCGGGTGGTGATGTCCTGTAGGGAGTCTGTGAGGCTGTTCTTCTGACAGGCCTTGACTGGCCGGTGCGGTCTACAGGGTCGGACGCTGGCAGCAGCCTCCTCCAGCAGTGAAGTGGGCTGCGCCAGCTGACAGATGGACTTCACGTAGTCATCCAGGCTGGGGGAGGCTGGTGGTTCCCGCCCATGCCCCCCGGGCAGCATCTCCTCCGAGGCCTCCCGAATGGTGGGGAGATGAGCCACAGAAAGCAGCAGCCGGGACCTCATCGCTGCCAGAGGTGGGGATGCAGCAGCCTGTTGGTTGACAGAGGACAGGGGGTGAGGGCGTGTCACACCTTCCTGACAACCCCCTATGTTCCCTCCCTCATCTGAGGCCGCCCGGGTGAGTCAAGAGCCTGAGAGCGCTTTGAAGTCTCTAGATCCAAGACCAGACACGGACCCAGGGCTTAGGCGCCTGGGCTCTAACTCCTGCTAATATCAGAAACCTGTGCACTTAAGACTCTATCATTACTGTTTAGGAACCTGTACAAATAAGAAAAGCCAGCCTAAAGGGCTGCAGTCAGAGGAAACCCAGATTTAATTCCAGGCTCTGCCACTTCCTGATCTTGGGATCTTTTGCTTGGCAAAGTCACCGCTCCAAACCCACACCTACTCATCAATACACCAGGGTTATAAAGACAGGACTGTTATGAGAAGCTCGTGTACTAACACCTCTCGTGAGTCCCTTTATGAATACAAAGCGCTTTGCAGTTGCTGTTGCTGCCATTAAATTATATTCCCGCTCTAACCCACAATGCAAGTCCGAGGCTGAGAACGGCCTCAAAGATAAGCAAAAACTTTGAGTTGTATCTCAAATCACCAGATTATTGCTTTCTTACCTGTACCTAGGGGGCTCCAAGGGTGCTGGATGAGCAGGACCGTCCGTGGGAAGCCCCCAGGAAGCTCTGGGCAGAGGGTTGGGGGTCCAGCAGGCGGAGCTGTATGCTCAGAGGAAGAGAACTATGACCACGGCCAGAGCAGAGTCCTCTCTGGGCTGTCTGGATTATCTCGAGGTCTGGCAGCTACTTTTATACCTTTCCAGCAGCTATCAATCACTGTCACGAGGGCCAAAAATAGCAGCACTCAGGAAGGCTCTCAGAGGAAAACAGCTTGGCAGGCGGGGCCTGGCCCAGCTGCCAGCCTGGATGGAGTGTTTCTCCTGTGGGAGCCTCTGGGAATGTTTACACTGCTGGTGGGGGAGGGAGGCTGCTCCTGGCCACCTCAGGCCGCTGGGAGAGGCAGTGAACCTCACTGGGCTCCCACAGGCAGCCCCAGGTCTGCCATCCCCATCTAGAAGCATTCCTACTGCCGATGACACCGGCCCCCTACAACCTCAGTCCCTCCAGCCTGGTTCTAGTTTGGTCAAAGCCCCAGGCCTGCACCTCAAAGCTCCTGGCCAGACATGGTGATGCAGGGCTCAGCCTGGAAGGGGCCCAGGTGGGCTTCTCTGGGCCTACTCAGGTGACAAGTGTCCATCTCATGCAGAGACAAAGGGGTGCCACATCCCAGTCTCTCTGCTGGCTTTCAAGTGATAGCTTGTCACCTCACTTGTTCCTCAGGCATCAAATTAGTGCTCTTGAGCACAAGTCACTGCTCTACTCTAGGAGAACGGGAAATAGTCACTGTCCATGGAATCTACCTCCCAGCGAGGGAGCCAAGCAGTACTCGGCAGAGGGGTGCTGTGATTCTAGGAATGGTACCGACTGCAGAGATGCGTGCAGCGGCCATGGTGGCAGAATGGTCAGGCATGTCTTCTCTGAGAGGGACACAGAGCAGGGATCTGAGCAATGGGCTCCATGTGCTCCCCGTGAGGGGGCTGAATGTGCAAAGTTCCCGTGAAGGGAGTGTGCTCGGCATGTTAGGTGCCAGCCAGGAGCCATGTGACTGGTCCACAGGGGAGGAGGTCAGTGGACTGAGGTGTGGACACTGGGTTTTCCTCTGAGTGGGACAGAAAGATAGCACAGGGTTCAAACAAGGGGGCAACAGTGTCGCTTCTGTTTTGAAGGAATGACTTAGCTGCTGTGCCTGAACTAAAGGAGGCAGTGGATAGGGAGCGTTGGAAGAAACTGGGCAAGGTTTGGAAGCCACTGCCAAAGTCCAGTGGTGACCATCGCAGCACAGGAAGCAACTGAGGGCAAGGCAGTGATGTGGGAAGGTTTTTGGTAAGAGCCAGCACCACTACCTCTGACAGGCACACTGGAATGTACCTGTCTTTTGTCTTGCAGCTGGAGTGGAGTATTCCTCATGGGCAAAGACCTTGGGCCAGGACCTCAGTTAGAGGTGGCAACTCCTATGTTGACAGTTCTTCTACCTGGATGTTTCTGTCACTGTCTTTGAATTCATTAGCAATTTGCAAATTAGCCAGTAAACTAATCTGAAGAGGAAAGTGTTGCCTGAGACAAAGAATCAGAATATCCAGATTGGCTTAGCTGTGATGTTCAAGGCCCCAGGGACCAGGTTCTCATCCTGCCTCTGCCCATGTGCACTGCCCTACCTGCATGGTGAGGGCTACCCAGAAGCCCCAAGATCCCACTACTCTGACCGTGGGGTGACGGGGCTTTTCCTTCATCCGCAAAGGACCAGTGGGGGCGGGTGTCAGGTTGGGGACACATGTGCTGGGTGTGCAGGGACACCAGGCCTGAGTCATATCAGGTCAGCTGGTCCCAGCACCACTGATCCATGACCTCAGCCCCTCAGTGCCACCCAGAGCAACACCTCCTGCCTCCTTCTTCACTGCCAGGACCCCAGAGCCTTCCTCGAGTCCTCGAAGGCCCAGCCTCAGCGTTTCCAGGCCCACTGCCCCTTTCCCTGTTGTGCTCTTTCCTCCCCCACATCTCACTCCCCCCAGGGTCCAGCATGGGACTGGAGGGCAGTGATCTCCATGTCTGAACAGCCCGAGCTATATCCCAGAGAAAGTGCCATCTCACAGAGGCATCTGAGGCCAAGACTGCAAACAAGGATGACCCCAAGTTAGGTTTTTCACTTTCATCCCAGGATCTTTAACAATCTCACCGTTCCTTTACAGGAGGTTTTGTTACATATCTGTGCCTGCCTTACATCAGTGGTGCCCAAAAATAGCTCTGGGTTTGTGTTGTTTTCTTTTCAAGCAAATAGTGCAAGGTCTTCCCAGAAAGTCATGTGTGTTTTTGACAACCTTGAACAAATAGAACTATTTTTTTTGTGGATGGCAGGGTGTTTTAAACTGTCAGTCACTAACCGTGAAATCAATACAGCTGGACACGTCTGGATGTGCTGCCAGGGATATGAAGTTGTCCACAAGGTCCTGTTATTGTAGGGGGTTCAGTGCCAGAGGGAAGAAGGAATCAGAATTTGTAGTTCTACAGTGGTGCTCAGGGTAGCGGTAGGAGGACAAGGTTTAAAGCTAACTGCCAGAAGATCTGAATCCAGGCAGTTTAAGAGATCATAGCTGGGAGGAGTAAGGCTGAGAAGGTTCTGGCAGGTGCTCTTGGTGTATAAAGCAGCCTGTCCAGAACATGTGTGGAGGTATGGGGTGGGACACAGAGATCCTGGAGGTGGTCACACATGGCCAGGAACCTGAAATAGGTCAGAGAAACACAATGGAGAACCTGAAAGGTGTGCGTGGGAGCTAACTGGGGGTGCCTCTGGAGGACACAGTTGATTAGGAACTCAGTGTTGAGGATAAGGGAGTAGCCAAGCCCCCCACCAACCTAGGGAAATCAAGGCTAGCTGGGGACACGGGATGAGTGCTGTTGTTGATATTTGGAGTGAACATGCCAGTGGTGGGACAGGTGTTGGCAGTGTCCCCAGTGTTCAGAAATGTAAGATCAGCCCTTATGAAAAAGCCAACTTGGAAATCTGGAGGTAAGTTCAGCCTTCTAACAGGAACAGTGTGGTGAGAGGGTGAGGTTGACCCACCCTTGTATGCTCGGCTGGGCATTGAATCCAACACCCTCAGCACATTCCCGGTAGGACCTGGTCACCATGGGGCTCCCTACCCAGGCAGGGTGCTGAGCAGAAAGGTGCCCTGCATTGCCATGCATTGCTCAGCTGAGCTTTCCTGAAATGTGTTTCCCCGCCACTGTGTGGACGTGCCTGCCAGACAGCAGCCGGTTCCTGTGGGACATTGACTCAGCGGCTCTGTCCCCGGCATGTCCCTGGCCAAGCGTGCAGCGAGTGGTGGAAGGGCACGCCTCAGGCTTCCTCTTCTAGAGACCTCTGGCCTCCTGCCTTGGAGCACATGCAGGCTGTGGGGCTTCGCCAGGGGGAGAGAGGACTCCAAAGAGAAGGAGTATCTTTCGGGGCCCAAGTATCCAGGGAGTCCCAAGGGACCTAGGGGATCTCGGTGAAGGTAGCAGTGATCCCTGAGGGCGTCTGCATTGGGGTAAGAGGCTGACATGTGTGGGTCCCCACAGGAGGAAGGGGCTTTGATTATCGAGGGCCTCCTCAACATCTCCTGGGGACTGAGGCGGCCAATCCGGCTCCAGATACAGGACGACAGGGAGAGAGTGCACATCTCAGCTTCCTGGACACCTGGACGGCCCGGCTGCCACCTGTGAGTGCCAGGTGACCTTTACGTTTCAGCCCCATGTTACTATTTGGGATATGGAAGTTGTCCACACCCTCAGGGTGCGTTTCCCAGCTCCCATATGGTCATAAGCATAAGCACATCACCCAGCGTCATCCCTCTTGCCCCGTGACAGCCTCAGCCCAAGGCCTCACCTAACCAGGTGCCCAGGCAGCCTGACCCTAGGGTGGTCTTTCTAGACTATGAGCAAGTCACCTCCTTTCTACAGACTGCTCTGGGCTTCCATCACTGCTCTGGGCTTCCATCTGACAGCATTGAAGTCACAACTTCAGTCACAACTGTTTATGTTTTCCAAACATTCACAGGAGTCACTTTGTCTGCAGGGAGAGAGCTGTCCACAAGCCCTGCAAGTGAAACATTTCTCAGCCTCTCCTATTGTAGCCTAAAAATGCACACAATTTGAGCTTCTGACTGCTCTGCTTTTATGCTAAAGTCATAATTTATTTCTATAAATTTTTCAGAACTTATTTTAATGTCAGAATAGTACTATTTCATTATATAACATTATAGATATGATTATATTAATATTTTAATATCAAAGTAATGTTTTAATTTGGATGTAATCATTTCCTGCCTGTCTTGCTTTTTAATGCTGTTGACCTCCTGTTGACCTTCCAACCCCGTAAAAGGTAGTTAGCTGCTAAGTTTTGCTGGCTTCTGCAGATAATAAAGCCCTCTAAAAGGCAGAAATTCAAAAATCCTTCCTTTTTAAAAATTCAAGTAACATTGCTGCTCTTAGGACATTTAGCACCTGGTATGTCGCCAGGTATCCCTGGTCACTCCTGTGAATCTTGATCATCATGGACTTAGAGCTGAACGTTCAGATGGGCTCCTTCCAGAGGCTGCAAATGTGACTCATGTTTCCACTTCCTGGGGTGACTCTGGTCACAGGAGCAGTCATGGAGAACAGAAACCTCACAGGCCTCTTAGCAGGGGCTTAGTTTCTCAGCTTCTACCAGCTTCCTCATGTTAGAACTAGTTCCCAGAACATCCATCTCCTCCCCAGCACAGTACCCACTGTCCTGGCTCAGGCCTCCTGCCCAGAGGCCAAAAGATCAGCCCCCTCAAGATTGCCCCCACCTGCCTCAGCCCAGTGCTAGGAACACACAAGGCCCTGCCTATGGGCACACGTGTGCCTGGGGTCTGCGCGTGCCTGGGGTCTGCACAGCTCTCAGGTCTGCAGAGCACACACCTCCTTCCAGTAGACACGGCCACCCTCTCCTCTTTGTTTAATATTTTACATTGACCCTCTGGGTGTAAAACCCCGGTCTCAGCTTCACCCTGCTCCTTGCCAGTGTCCCATCCATAGAGACGACGGCCTCGTCTCTTGGCCTTGAGTGACTTCTCTCGGCCTGCAGCCCTCTGAGCACACGATTGTCTCATTTCAGGAAAGAGCCACCTCTTCCAGATGGCAGAGCCAGCGCCCAGGAGCCAGGTGCTCAGCCAGGGCACAAGACCGAGGATTCCAGAGATAGCTCGGGTGAGTGGAGCTGCCGGCTGCCTGGGACCCTGTCTTGTTTGTCTGGGAGAGGAGAGGAAGACCTGTGCCTTTGTTCATTTCATCTCTGAAGAACAGCCCAGTATGGCTTCATTTGTCTTGAGAAACAACCCTTGCTAAATACCTCCTCAATATAAGGTGCTTTACTGGCGTTTTCATGGAGCCCTTATTGAAAGGAGGAAACGTCAGCAGAGGCTATGGTGCTCGCCTGGCCTTGCAGGCCACTGGGACTTCTTCCTCGCACTCTGGGGTCCATAACTGCTGGTCTTCTTTGTGCGCTCTTCTCTCACTCAGCAAAGGGCTGCCCCAGAATGGACAGAGCTAGGGGCTGCCAGAGCCCTGTGGTGGGTATCCCAAGATGGAGACCCAGAGGCTATGGCCATGGGACATGGTGACACAGGTAACCTGTGTAGGGGCTGCCTTTCCTGTCTGGACCCCACAGAGTCCCTCCCAGGCACAGCATTGAAGTCACACCTGCAGCAGTGCGGTACAAGCAGGAGACTCCTGAGAGCCCACCCCAGGCACACACTCCCACGGTAGCACCGACGCCCCACCCAGACCTGACCTCTTGTCTGTGTCTCACCACAGAGCCCCTGGAGGAGGAAGAGGAGGCCCCGCAGCTGATGCGGACCAAAAGCGACGCCGGCTGTGTGATCCAGAGGCGGCCCAAGTGCCGAGCCCCCGGCGAGGCCCAGAGGATCCGACGACACCGGTTCTCCATCAATGGACACTTTTACAACCATAAGGTAATGTCTCCATCTGGCCTCTGACCTGAACCCTGATGTTGGGGTCTAGGGGAAGCAGCCCCAAGCATGGGCACAGTCATGGGCCGGCAGTAGATCAGGCCCCACTGCACTGCATCAGAGTTCACCCTCACCAGAGCCCTGTGTGCAGCTGTGGTTGTCCCAGGGCACTGAGGGAGAAATGGGCCCAAGAAGAGAAATGGCTTGCTCAAAGTCATACCAAAAGAACATTCTAGTTCATGACCCAAAAGCCTCAATTTTTTTCCCACCACACTCTCACAAGTTGCATAGATTTTTGGCAGATAATGCTGAGTCTGTCTTTAATTAGACAATTTTCTGTGAGGTTTCCACCTGACCTCGAGGGTTTGCTTCATGGGAACATCGTGTATCTTGCTACCGCTCTGGCCGGGTGACTAAGCCCTCCTTAGGTGTGCCTAGGGCACATGTACCCATGTCCCAGAGAACCTGCAATGCTCTCAATTCCCAGCACTTAGCCTTTTGTCCAAGTATGCATTGTACTGACCTCCGGAAAAGGTCTCCTTCCCCGGATGACATCATTCCATAAACAAACTAAACTGTAAAAGGAGAACTTGATTGTGACTATAAATGGCACGAGTGGCAATTTGGGCGAGGCCCTGGATGGAGTGTCCTGTAACGGGCCACATCCTGCTGCACTGGGAACTGAGGCAGCGACTCCCAGCTGGAGCAGCTGCCCTTCTTGATGGGTCATGACTCATGGCAGGGGGAGGGAACCTGGGCACAGGGAGGGCTCAGGGGCATTGCCTGAAGGAAGTAACACAAGTTCGGCCTGCTAACAGGCGTTCAAACCACTCTTGGGGTGTGCTGGTCTTAGAGATGAAGAATTCAGTGTGCCAAACGAGGGACTCTGCTTTATAATCAGGAGCTCCCTCCCCTTGCCCGCCGTTGTTTTCCTGAGTGACAATAGTTATCTGCTAAGTCCAGGAAAATCCAGGCTTACTTGAGAGTAGAGTTTCCTGAGACAGTGAAGGGGGAGCCAGGGATGACATGAAGCCTAGATGAAGAATGGTTTAGATTAACCAAAGGACCTGTGATCTCACAGGGGTATCGTTTAAATCTTCTTCCAAAAGGGATTTGTAAAGTGTTATATAAACACCAGTCACTACTACTGGAATACAAGCTGATAGGCTTTGTTCGGGATTATTCAAAATATTTTCAAGAATATTTGCATGGGTTTAGGCTCTTTTTAGTTCTATGTTCACAACAAACAAACAAGGAAACAAAAAAAGTCTTTTGTTCCATGACTTAAGGTACTGAATAGTGAGGTTTATCATTGGTACTTTCAGTCCTCTGTAGGAGTCATTGATCTCTAAGAGGCGTGTCTGGCTCATTAAAACTTATTTTAGTCCTTGCAAGTGTCACAGGGACATGGAGATGTCTGAGCACTCTATAGCCATTGAAATGAACAGAAATAACCATCAAGGGCTATGCCAGCCTCTCAATGTCCAAGAGAGCCTCCAAGCTCCTCACCCAGACAGCCTGACACGCCGCACACCAGCCTATACCCCAATAGAGACAGCTCTTCCTCATAGTAACAGAACTGCCTGTGGAATGTGGATCTATTCTTCCAGTCAAACTGACTATCTTCCAGAACATAGGCCAGGGTCTTAGGCTTGTAGGCAGTGGATTCACATCCTCTCAGTAAGAGGCTCCCTCTTTTTCATTTCACTCTACATCCATTCGGAATCAGAGTCAGTAGAAATCAGATGATAAAGTCTTGGGTCTTAGGCAACGATTTGAAAAAAGAAATCCCTAGAATTGCCTTCCTGGGGTTGTTATTCAGGGTTTCATTTTTTAGATTGTGCCCCATTACTTTACTCAGTCATTCCCCGGAACTACTCTGCTTCATAGTAATGGATTGGTTTCCAGAGTGGGTAAAACTTGGAAGCTGCTCCCACTGCTTAGCCCTGGTCCATTGGCTTCACCTGTGTTCTGACCACTGTGGACAGGCCCGAGCAAGCAGCCATGGACCTTTGCTCCTACTTGGAGCTGGTTGGTATCATCTAGAGGAAAGGCTTCCGACAGAAGAAGTACTAACAATGTCTTGTTGACAAGACCTTTATCCTCCTTGAAATAGCCTGACGCCTCTAGTTACTCCATATTTCATGGGAACTCAAAGCCTAGATCTGGTTTTCTGTCTAACCAGAGTCATTCTGTCTCAGTTATCAAAGAGACAGGTCCAGGTTGGACTCTGGCTTCAGAACTTGAGAAGTAGCTGGGATACTGAGCAAGTCCCCCACGAGCCCCAAGCCCCAGTCACATCCTGGGCCAAGCAGAGCTAGACCATGCAGGAGGACTATGTATATTTAAATTTAGTTTAGAAAAAAGGAGGATCTCACCTCAGGGGAGTCAGATTTGTGGGACAGCCCCAGTAGCACTGGAGTGAAGCTGGGGTTTGGGGCATCTCTTCCGTTTGTAGATGGGTGACCCTGACAAACTACTTAATATCTCCAAGCTTCCATTTCTAAGAAAATACAGGTACTTCAAAGGGCTATTGTGAGGATTAAATCAAAGATTATATGTAAAGTGCCTAGCAGATTTGCCACTTGGCTAGTGACCACTGAGGACTTGTTAAGCCTCAGGCAGTTCCCTGGTTGACTTCATATACAGCGTCTTTATATGCAAAGACAAGATAACTCTGAGAATATAATAGCCCTCACCCCACAAATACTGAAGAAGGCACGTGGTGGCTGGAGCCAAGGTGCTTGGGCGGGAATCATGGTATCGCATGTTCATAGTAAGGAGAGGAAGGTGGATGGCACTCCTTAGGCCATGGGAAGTCTTCATATATTTTTAAGTAGAATAGACAAGCATGGGTGATCCCAGAGCCCAGGTTCACTGACAGCTCGTTTGTTCAGCATTATCAGGCCAACAGTGTGCCCAATCCTGCATAATATGAGCCCCCTGTCCCTTCTGGCCCTGCACTGACCCCACTCTCCTTGCAGACCTCAGTGTTCACTCCTGCCTATGGGTCCGTGACCAATGTGAGAGTCAACAGCACCATGACAACCCTGCAAGTGCTCACCCTGCTGCTGAACAAGTTCCGAGTAAGTGTGGCCACCAGTGGCCTTGCACCTCCTGCTGGTGGTTTGCTGTTTTGTTGGAGGAGGGATTGGTGCAGGCTGGGGAAGCTGCCCTCGTAGCTTGGCTCCCAAGTAGAAAGTCTAGCAAAGTATTTTCTGCTGAGCTGGTGTCACTGAGATTTTAAGCAGAAAGGAGAGGGTCTTGAGGGCTTTTGCATGTGGCACTAAGGGTGTGGTTACTGCTGGGGTCCCTGTTCACCTCTCTTGTCTTGAAAAGCCATGGTCTGACTTCCTGTCACTGCCTGTGCAGGTGGAAAATGGTCCCAGTGAGTTCGCACTCTACATTGTTCACGAATCTGGGGGTAAGTGTTTGCCTTCGCTCTGGATCATAAAAACAAACATCTGTTTGGCAAGTTCACTGGCCGTGCTCCTGGTGGGGCTGGATGGGCCGCCCTCCCTCCTGGCCTTGGGTCATGCTGTGCCATCACCATGAGTGATGAGTGATTTGGGACTCTTCCTGGCCCAAATCTGGGGACACAGTCATTCCTCTCAGATCCCACCTAAACCACATGGGAAGCTGCCACCCCCCTGCCCCGGTAGGCTCTGCCAGGTGGGGTGAGGCCTGTGGGAAGAGGGGCGTGTGAGGTATGCGGGAGCCCGGGATGTGGAGCTGAAGCCCCTCATTCCCAGAGATCTGCTCATACAGAGCCCACATCTCCCTCCACGCAGCGCTCACCCTTGGTGGTCTGGTGACCGAGCAGCCACACCCCACATGCACTCTCCCTCTGCGAGCATCCATCTCCAACTGGGCCTTTGCTAAATAACATAATCACACATCACTCAAACTAACACTCTCAGAGAGGTCTGGAGATGGGTTCCCGGTAGCCTGGACTTTCATCTTCTGTCATTTTCCTGTGCTGGAATGAAGAGAAATGATCCCAGTGCCCCATGGGTTTTGTAAACTGCCTTCTTTTTCAGAGAGGACAAAATTAAAAGACTCTGAGTACCCACTGATTTCCAGGATCCTGCACGGGCCTTGTGAGAAGATCGCCAGGATTTTCCTCATGGAAGCTGACTTAGGCGAGGAAGTTCCCCACGATGTGAGTGAGGGCTGGGGCTCAGGGAGGCCTGCTCCTGAGGGAAGGGCCTGTGACAGTGGGTGATCTGGGGGGTCATGAGGTCACCTTGGCCAGAGCCTTGTTGTGTCATGTTTCCAAGGTCTATGTGGTTGCCCTGAAGGACTCCAAGCCAGTAATGGCTCCAGCCTTCCCTCTGCCTGTCAGCAACCACCAGCTAGCTTAGAGGGGGAAAAAGAAGTTGGAACCTAGAAAACCAGGGCCTGTGATTTTTACTGGGGCATCTGAGTCTTACAACATCCTGAATCCTGGCCAGGGATTGTCCCTACACAGAAAAGGCCTATAGGGCTTGGGCCCCAAGGATCAGGCCAGGTGACCCAGTGACCCTGCCCCGCTCTGGCCATTCACAGGCTGTAGTTTTGTTCCATTGTTAGAAACAATGGTGTTTCCACCACTCCCACCCCAGGCCCTGAGAACCCCTGTGTGACTCTGTTCACTGTTGAATGCTTTTCCTAATATTCAGCTCAGTCTTTCCTCCCAGGGATCTGGAGTTGCCCTTGAGGTCAGAATGTACACACAGAGCAGTGCTAGGGGTGGGTGTGCAGAGGGGCGACTATTTCCTTGGAGATGAGACTTGGCTGCATTGGCATTTATGGAAGCCATGAGGAAAAGAAATCACTTGTGTGGCTTCTAATTTAAGCACATTAAAATGTTCTTGGATTTTCTAGGTCGCTCAGTACATTAAGTTTGAAATGCCGGTGCTGGACAGTTTTGTTGAAAAATTAAAAGAAGAGGAGGAAAGAGAAATTATCAAACTGACCAAGAAGTAAGCAGCACTTAAAGAGCCAGTTGTGGGTCCTGAACAGCAGGGCGAGTCCGCAGGGCAGAGCACTCAGGCTGGGCTGGGAGATCCCCCTCCTCCAGGGGCACCAGGTGCCCTCGCAAGGCTGGGAAGACCTGCTAGCCCTGCTCCCAGCACCACCCTCTGCCCCCTGCTCACTGTTAACACCAAGTTGGGGGACACCCCAGCCCAGGAGGACACATGCTGCTGACAGCCGGCAGGGGAGTCAGGCAGGAGCTCGGTGGGTGCTGCTTGGCCTTGTGAGTTCTGGTCACACAGCTCTGGAGGAGGAGCAGCTGAGCAGAGGGCCCATTCGCTGCCCCTTCAGCCTGCTCTGGGCCTTTTGTGCTGGTGTGAATTCTGAGCCTGCTGAAAAGCATCATTTTTGGAACCCCCTTACCAGCTGATATTTTTAGATGCAGGGAGCCAGTTCAAAGGAAAAATACTAAGCTGCTGGGAATGCTTTATCAGAGCCCAGCAGTGAGAGCTTAAGCAGGTCACATCTTCGAATGATCTGTTTTCTCTTTGCAAAGTGAAGCAGGGGAGAGAAGGAGAACACGTGGAGGGCACTCAGCCAGCATCTGGGTCAGAGTCCCTCTTAGTAACGGTAAAAAGGAGGCTACTTACTGCAAGGGCCTGCAGTCAGGGCTGTAGTCCAGATTCTGACTTTTGGCTAAATGATCCTTGGAAAGGCACAACCCCCTCCTCCAAGCTTCAATTTGGGCCTCTTATGAGCAATGAGCAGAGACCCCAATCGGAGGGAGCAGTTCACTGTGCAGCCAGTAATGTCACTGTAGGATCTGAGAGCGACAAGAAATCTGGGGGTCACCTGTCAGTGTAGAAAGACCCAAGATGAGGAAGTTGAGGCACAGGTTATTGCAGAGCTGGGCTTGAACACCTGCTTCCTGTATTTGCCCTGTCCACTCCAGGATGCACTTGTTCATGCTGGAGTCTTTGAAATAGAAATAGCAACATTGTGCTTTGAAATGTGCTTGAATCTGTAGCATTGTATGGCTGCTTCTTGCAGCCAGTGGTTTTCACAGGGCATGGGTCCAGCTCTTCCCTCTCCTTGACAGACTGGTGGCCACCAATCAGCCAGTCAAGCGCTGTGGGCCTCCTGGACCAGGCATCTGTGTGCTCCCTGGCTCTGTTCCCCACTCCCTGTCTCCTCAGTGTCAACGAGTCTGCCTGGCTGTGTCTCCCCTCAGGTTCCAAGCCCTGCGTCTGACAATGCTGCAACGCCTGGAGCAACTTGTGGAAGCCAAGTAGCCAGCCAGCTATAGGTCTCCTCCTAGGCCCTTAGCAGCGAGTGCAACCAAGTGCCATGGGCAAACCTGACTGATCATACTGATTGATAGCCACCAGTTGAGCAATCCAGAGCCTGTGCTTCTACCTGTCTACCTGCCTCAGTACTGTTGGTCCCATGTGTCTGGCTCTTGGCTGCAAGATGAGTGCTCACCGGATCAAGCCCCACACCTGAGGAGCCAGGACCTTGCTAGGTGCGGTCTGCATGCATGGTTGGCCAGGACAGTGAGCAGCCATAAAGCTATGGCACCAACTATCTCATGTAGCTGGATGGTGTGACCAGTCCTGTTTAAGTCACACTTCTCCTGCCCGGGAGAGCACTACCTGGTGGAAGCCCTGTGGCCTGGGCCTCATCTGCTTCCCCAGTGGCTGGCCCAGGGCATTTCCACCAGCCTGTCTTCATTGCCCACGTGAAGTCCCCGTCTGCCCTCAGGAGCACTGCTGAGAAAAGCAGGAGATGCCAGCGGCTGTATGACATGCCCTGCTCCCAGCCATCGCTTCACCACAGCAGCTCCGCCTTCCATGCCTACAGTGTCCCCCTGTGAGCCTCACACAGCGGTGCCTGGCTGGCTGAGGTCAAACCAGGATTAAACCACAAACATTCCATCCCCTCTGTCAGTACCCACTCTTAAATTCCAGTGAGACCTGAAGGGAATGATTATGAGGTATTCACTGCAAGAAACACCTTATTTGATCATGCAGAGGAGGCAGCCCACATGGCACTGGAACAATGTCACTCAGTGTGGGTGAGATTCCAGGGCTGCACAAGAGCCGCCAGGCAGGGACTCGGGAAGGCAGTGGCCCCCATCACCACTGTCCTATGGATGCCTCTTGCTCTCTCTGACCTTGCGTTCCTCCCTGCTCAGTACTTCCCACCAAAGGGGCCATGATACAGAGAAATGACTGTTGGAGTAGAATGGGCTTTGAATTCCCTGGGGCCAGATATTGAACAGTTTGGGTTTGTCAACTGGTGGGAGAATTCCTGGAATGAATGAGAAGTTACTTGCAAAACTATGCAACAGTTTACATCGGTCATATGAAATGTTTGTCCAAAACAGAACAAACTGAAGACCAAACTTTTCTCCCACTGGAGTCTCTGGATAACAGATTTTTAAAGGAAGAACCATAAAGGCTTCCAAAGATAGGAGAGGTCCCATCTCTGCTTCATGCCATGGCTCCTCACCAGCACCTGGGAAGAGCAGAGCTTGGGAGCAGCCAGACCAGGCCGTGTGAAGCCGCTGTTCAGAGAGAGCTTCACACCAGTATTTTTCTGGCTCCATGGTCACAGAGACATGCAGAGAGAAGCCATGGGGAGGCCTGGACCAGTCTCTATTGTCTCTGTCTTCCTGTAGCTACATAGTTTCTTTAGGTCCTCAATAAAGTTGCTCTGTACTGAACCCAAAGGCTTAGGACCAAGCTTTATTTTGCACCCTGACCCCTACTCTGAGCTCCAAAACTCTTATCCTATAGTAGGTGTGGCAGAAGAGCCAGAGGTGAGTCAACTGCTATTGACACAGACACAACTTTCATTTCTGCACGTGTCCTGGGGATCAGTGTGGGGCCTGTGGCCAGGCAGCCATAAGACATGGAGTACAACTCATTGATGGGGGTGGCCTGTACCATTAGCAATCAGATCACCCCAAACTGCAGAAGCTCAGCACGGGGAGGACCTCAGGAAACTTCCAATCTTCTAGACTCACATAAGATGGCAGCAGGAGAGGGTGGGAAAGGAATCAAACAGGCACTCCCGGCTCATTTACTCTCTGGGCTGTTCTTACAACCTTGTGTCCAAGCCAGCTGCTGTCCATTGCTTAGCAGTAATTGAGTGACTGCCTTGCAGGTTTGTCCCTCATTACTGGGGACAAAGTGAGAGCCATCACTGACCCTGTGCTCAGGGGTCTTCTCAGCAGGAGAAGACCCAGCCCAGCTGGGGAACATGCCTGGAAGGAGGCCCAAGGCTGAGCCGGAGTCAGCGAAAACAGTGTGTGTGGCATTCCAGCCAAGAGACACATGCCAGCCCAGAAGCAGGACAGGACCCAGCACAGGAAGCCACCCTGTCAGGGCCTCCCTGTAAGCACTCTCCAGTTTGTTTTCTATTTTGAATTTACTGGGTTTATTTTTTGTTACTGTGCAGGTATAATATTATTTAAGACCTGTCTAGGTAAGTGTCCCTTTTGAAATAGATGATTATCCAAACTAACTTCTGAATACTATAGCTAAAAAAAAAAAAAAAAAAAAAAAAAAATCACCAACAAGTTGCATGGAAAAAGAGAAAATATACACTTCTAAAATCATTTGAGGAATTCAAAATTTTTTATTAATATTGATTTGCTTTAGAGGCAAATTAGTCAGTTCACTGTAACCTCCACCATTTCTGACTTTCTCCGCCAGGGTCTTTGGTTTCCTGCTTGTTTGTTTGGGAACTTCTCTTTCTTTCTCCATAGTCACTGTATTTCTCATATGCTCCTTCACTGACCAGCATCTCCTAAAGTAGGACTGTCTCCCCAGACCAGGTCTCAGGAACAAGAAAAATAATAAACATGGTGAAATCAACATGATTGCATAAGGACAACTCTGGAAAAACAGAGTGGTTTGCCCAGAACATACTACCAGGAGGAATTAGAAAAAACAGCGTGTTTTTCCTGTGGTGATAACCATATGCTACTGCTTGGAATGTTTACCAGAGAATGAATTAAAGACCTTCCCACTGTCAAAATAAAGTCCAGGGGTCACCTAGGACACATCTGGCCCCTTAGTCCCAGGGAAACAAAACAAGAGGCTTATCCAGTCTGACCAGGTGATTTGTGGAGGAGTTGGCTATGCATAATGGGGCCAGTGTGGGCAGGATGCAGGCACCCTGCAGCTGCAAAGTGGGAGCAGGACATCCTTGCCAGATGCCCTGGTGGGCAGCAGCCCCCCTCCCCTCTGTCCCTCAGGCAGCAAGTGCAGTCAGAGCCAAGTCTATCCAAGTACAATGACAGCCAAATGCACATGCCGTACTAGCCCCGTGGCTACCATTGGCTGGGACAAAGTCACTGCTGACCTGCCCCGGACTTACTGTGTGATGGGTAAACTCTGCTCCCTCCTGGAGCAGAGATGTTTTCTGCAAACCTGGAGTGGGAATTCCCAGAGTTTCCTTTCCTGAAGAACTCAAAGGAAACAGAAAGCAAAGTCTCAGGCTGGGTGGACAGAATCTTTCAGGGTCCCTTCTATGGGGGATGGGTTACTTGCGTTAACTGCACTTGGGTCACACGTGACTGTGCTCCTTGCACTTTTGCCAAATGCAGACTCAAGACAGTAATGCTCCTTGCTGAAGCAGTGTCTTCCATGGAGTGTGCGTGTGTTTGTGTGTGTGTCCGTCCACAGGGAGGGAGGGAGGGAAGGAGGGAGTGGGTAGAAGACAAAGCCATAGCAAAAGGAATTATCTTGCCAGAGCTTTCCTCAACCCAGAAACCTCTTCCTGGAATGATGCCTTCAAATAAGACAGGATGTAGAATTCCAGAGAAGCCCCAGCCATTAAGGGGTCTGACCCCTCTTAGTCCAGTTTCCCCAGAAAGAATAGCTGTTAGGAGCAGGTAGTGGAAATAGTCTTCCTGTCCTTACTGTCTATCATCCGTTCTCTCTCCCCACCTTCTACTTTATGCTTTGTAAATATCACATGTGACATTTTCAACAATTTGCCTAGAAATAACCTGGAATTCCATTTGTGAGATGCTTCTATGTAGAGGTTAAAAGTATAGGCTCTGGAGCCCGACTGTCTGGCTTCCAGCACTTAGGAATATGTGACCTTAGACAAATTACTTGCTTCCATTTTCTTATCTGCAAAACAAGGATAATAACAGCTCTTAAGATTTAGGAGATATATTGGTTAGCTTTGCTTCATAAACAACAAAAATGTCAGTAGCTACACCAGAAGCATTTATTTCTCTGGCATGTTTCATCTGACTGGGGGTGGCTGTAGGTAGCTCTGCTCCGTGTGTTCTCTCCTGCTGAGCCCTAAGTTGAAGGAGCAGACCTACTAGGGACATGTTTTCCTAGAGGCGGAAGGAAAGAACAGAGCAGTGGCAGAAACATAGTGACCTGAGGCTTTTGGGACATGCTGTACTTCACGTCCACTCACATCTAGTACCCAGGGCTACTCACTTTAAAGTCAACCTCATGGGGGCCTCCCCGGTGGCGCAGCGGTTGAACGCTGGGTTGCGAAGCTGCCCGCTGCCTCTGCAGCGCCGGTTCGATCCCCGGCTGCTCCCCGGCCACCGGAGGAGGGTCCCACATGGCGCGCAGACCTCTCCTGCCGCCCGCTGCTCCCCTCAGCAGTGTACTTCGGTCCTTCTGCCTGCTCTGCTCCCCGCTCTGGCTCTGGTGAATTCTCTCACCCTCCCGTGCTTCTGACTGTACCCAGTGCTTGTATAAATAAATAAAATAAATCTTTAAAAAAAAAAAATAAAATAAAGTCAACCTCATGGAGTAGAACTTCATACACTGGGTGGGGCCTCCCAGGTGGTGCAGGGGGTTAAGTGCTGCACTGTGAAGCAATCTGTGGCCTCTGCAACACGAGTTCGATCCCTGGCTGGTGAGAAACCCACATGGTGCAGTAGACCTCTCCTGTCTCACCCGCTGCTTCCCTCAGCAGTGTGTTTCAGTCAGTCTGCCTGTTCTGCTCCCCACTCTGTCTCTGGTGAATCCTCTCACCCCCCATATCTCTGGCCTGTGCCCCAGTTCTTGTATGCATAAATAAATAAATCTTCTTAAAAAAAAAAAAAGACTGTCATACACTGGGAAGCACTGAAATTCCCACAGCAGTAGTCAAGGGGTGCAAAGCCAGAGCAGGGCAGAGTAAAGCTCAGAAAAAATCAAACCACAGGAACAATGGGTGAGATATAAGTGCTTCAAACAGTGTCTGACACATAAGCATTCAGTAGTGTTGACTATTGTTATACTAATAAATATATTGAGGGCATCAAACTCTGCCTGTTTTCCCTCCTCTTCACCCCCTTTTCCCTTTTATTCTTCCTCCTTATCCTCATCCTAGCTCTGTTTCTGTCTCTTACCTCTGTATCTTACCTCCTACCCATGCTTGGTCCACCCCTTCGTTTACTGACTTTCATTTCTTTCCTTTTAAAAACTCATCTTTCTTTATCCAGATAATTTTCTACCTTGCTAATCAACACAACTCTAGGTCTTCCATACCTCGCCTAGTTTATTTTCAGTACAGGAAAAAGGGATAATCGATCTGGTGTGTGACATGGAAAGGGGTAGTTTATAAACTTTAAACTTTTAAAAATGTTTCTGAATTTTTTTTTTCTTATTTTAATGTACATCGAGAAAGCAGTCTCAGCAGGTCATTTTGCTCCTGAAACTTACCCTGAACCATCTCTGGTCATGACCCCTCCCTACTCCTATTCCCTCTAACCACCAGCATCAAAAACTTTGTGATAATAATTTAATAGTAAAAGTAATAACATTGGTTCACATATCTTATGTTATTAATTGTGCTAAGTGCTTTTCAGTATCTCATTTATTCTTTACAAAAATCCAGTTATAGTCTGGATTATTAAATTGACATCTTTGTTAGTCCTTAGTCATACCATCTTGCACAGCAGAAAGCTCCACCTTGAGTTCTGAATCTTTGATCTAGTCTGGGCTCCGCCATCAACTCTCTGTTATATCAGGCAAGCCTCCCTCTCTCAGTCTCACTTTACTATAAGACATACTTGTAGTATGTCTTGATCTACAAGGTATATGATCCCTGATTCATGAGACCATATTAAAGGTGAATGACCAGACCAGAGAGGATAGATGTAAAAGCACTTCGTATACAATGGGATATCTTACAAATTTATTCATTTGACAAACATTTTCTGAGTGTCTGCTACCTGCTGAGCATTGTTCTTAGCACTGCAGACAGAACAATGAACAAGAAAGATATCACGAAGTCTTTGTGTACCACTGTGAGGATTTTTGCACTAATAAAATGAGAAGGCTGTGGTGAGAAGACTTATCTTGTGTCATAAGAGAATCACTCTGAGGCTATGAGCAGGCTCTGGGAGAGAAGTGAGGCAGCCAATACAATCCATACAGGAGATGACAGAGGCTTGGTGTAGGAGGTTATAGCAGTAGAGGTGTTGAAAGCGTCTTGATTCTGGATATATTTTGATGATAGAACCATGAGAATTGCTGGTGGGCTGGATTTGGGCTTTATGACATCAAGATTTTTGCCCCAAGCAACTGGAAAGCTGGGAGTTGTCACCAATTGCTGGGATGAAGACTGTTAGGAAACAGGTCATATGAGTACCAGAAGTTCCTTTGAGGTTAGGTTAGGTCTAGTGTCCATCACACATGCAAATATGGCTGAGTAATCAATTGGATCAAGAGACTTTAGAGGTGAAAACAACCTTTCCTGGCCCTTGATCATCCACTTAACACTGCATGAAACTGAACAACATTTCAAAGCCTTGGTTTCCTTGTCTGCTCAATGAGTGTGATCATTCCTATCTTTCAGGGGCTTTTTGGTGATGACTAGACAAGGGGACTCATGAAAACTATCAGGTACAGGTGAGAGTCCCCAAAAGTAGCTTTTTATAACAGGCGCTCACATTAGTGGCAAAGGGTGCTTCAGGGTGGGAGGGCTGGTGTATCTTTTCAAAAGCCGTGGTTGACACCAGCCGAGGTTTGCTGGCTCTGTAGGCCGCTCCTCCATTACAAAGGGTGGTGGCCACCGGTCTTGAGGTCCTGGGGGCTCACAGGACGGCTTCTGAGGGGCGGGAAGTAGAAACGGAGTTCCTCCGCTCCGCCGGCCCGGGACCATAGAGGGTCGCTCCGCCACGTTCCTAGAGCGACCGAGCGCCGCCCGCCCGCCGCACGGTCCGCACTTCCGGTGGCGCGAGGGGAGCCGCGCGGGGAGCGAGGCGGCGGCCGGCGGGCGCGGTGAGTGGGCCCGGCGCGCGGCCGGGCGCGGGAGGCCCTCGCGGGCGCGAGCTGGCCGCAGCGGGGCGGCCTCGCCCGGGCCCGGGCGTGGCGGGCGCGGCCTCGGGCCTCCGCCACCGGGAGGGCCCCGCGCCGGGCCGGGCCGCGGGCGGGGAGCGGCGCGGTCGGCGGGACCGAGGAGCGGCGGCCGGAGACCCCAGGGGTGCAGAACGGGGGCCCCGGCGACTTGGGGCCGCGGGGGCGCCGGGCCGGGCGGTGAGGCCCAGCGCCAGCCCTCGTGGGGCGCACGGGCCGCTCGCCGAGGTGCTTCTGGGCTGTCCGGGGCTGCTGAGCTGCTAGCACCCCGATAGTAGCAGCTTCGTTACCCCAGTTCTGTGTGTGAGGAAACCGAGGCACGTTCCGTTTGTGCGGGTTGGCACCGCCAGTCGCTCCTGTCAAGTTTACTTTTTTTTCCCCCCAAAATGATAAAACTAGTTTTTTAATTATTTAGGTGTTAACAATAGTACATGTTTACAATGTCTTATTTATAGTTCTCAAGCTGTTGGGCTGCCAACAATGTTTTGGTTTTTTTTTTAACTTATGATTTTTTTAATTTTATATATTTTTTACATCATTTTTCATTTTTGCAAAATGTATGGTTTTTCATTTTGGTTATAGTCCCCATACAATTTCCACCACCCCCCCTTATTTTGACCCTAATCCCTCATCCCCCACCCCCTGTGTCTCTAGTTTGTAGTTGCTTGTTGATTTTTTTTTACTTTATTATAATTAGTCTTTTTCCTGGTCCCTTATTTAGGTTTTCTAGATTCCTGCTATGAGTGAGACCATCCGGTATTTTTCTTTTTCTTTCTGGCTTATTTCGCTGAGCATGATCCCTTCCAGCGCCATCCATGTTGCTGCAAATTGCATGTGTTTATCTTTTTTGAATGCTGAGTAATATTCCATGGTATATATGTACCACATCTTCTTGAGCCAGTCATCTATTTTTGGGCATTGGGCTGTTTCCAAAGCTTAGCTATTGTAAATAGTGCTGCTATAAACATAGGGGTGCAGGTGCCCTTTGGAATTAATGTTTCTGTGTCCTTTAGGTAAATACCTAGGAGTGGAAATAATGGATCTATGGAAGCTCCATCTTTAGCAGGTTGAGGAATCTCCACACAGCTCTCCATGGTTGCTGTCAAGTTTACTTTAACCTTAACCGGTACACCAACCCTGTAAGGGTGCACTGGTCTGGTGGGGGTGTTGGGCGCTGTGGCTGGGGTCAGTTCTGTCTCATAGCGAACAGGCTCTGGGGCCAGGCTGCTCGGGTTGAGAACCCTTCCTAATGGGCCCTGCCACTCTTTACCTGTGGAATACACACAGTCACACGGGATTGAACACTACATTGGTAGTGATCTCGGGTTAGACATTGAGTTTCCTACCATGTCTGACTTGGATACTGTTAAAGAATAAATGGTGTTTTTTAAAGTACATAATTACTATTAATAGTTTTTTTTTTTTTGAACTACAACACCATGTAGCTAACAAATGCCTTTTTGTAACAGATGTTCTATAAATATTTACTGAAAGAATGAGTAATGCTGTCTCTAGTTTTGTGTTGTGTGCAGTTTGCTTTTTTTAATACTTAACCATAATTACAGCAGATATTGTTATTAGATAGCCAGATAAAGTCCTTAGCACTGGCAGCCCGGTAGTCTCAATTATACAGATGCTGGAAAGACAAAAACAATGATGTAATTTGTGTTTTCAGTCATTTGCAGAAACCCAGAGTAATTATTACCATCTTAATGCTGCTTCTTGACACAAGGCATGGAAAATAGTTCCAATAATTTTGTTATTTTTGCAGTCATAGCTTCTCCCACTTGTCACCAACTTGGATTTTCAGGCATGTTTGTTTATGGCCATTTTTTTTTTAGCTTCATAAGTAAATAAATGAAATTTATTTGAAGTGTTGAGTTTTTGCAGCATTTGTGTATTTTTACATTTTGCTCTATTTTTACTTGTAAACTTGTTTTTTTTCCTTCTTTTTTGGTATCCTACCTACCACATTTTTTCCTACTCAGTTTCATTCTGCTGTCCAATAAGACTTCCTGGTCAATTTTTCTATCTCCAGAAATGGTCCTCTTGTTTCAAGTTTTCAAAAACGTGTCCTCTTTCTTGTATCATTAGAACCTTAAAAAATAAACAAATAACAAGCAACTCTCCATTGACATTTTCTCACTTGGCATTTATTGAATAGTCTCCCAGACACTTCTTATACAGCATCCCTACTCTCAAAATAAATGTTGCTACAATGTTAAAGTGTAAGCTATATCTGTGAAAGTAGAATGACTAAATAAAGATAACAGGAATATTCATTATTGAAGTATGAGTTGTCATTTTCTTACTAATTTGGACTCCTTAATTAAATGATCACCAATAAGGGAGAAGTTTAACTTAGAAGTCTTAAAACATGATCATAGTTTATAACATAAATTTTGTCATTTGAATTATTCTATTCCCATTAAGATAGTATATTGTCACCAATTTTTAATACTTCAGAATTACATATTCATTCGATAATCACCAATAAAAACTTAGATTTCACTTTACCAATTTTGGGTTTTTGTCCTATATCAATAAACGAAACCCCAAAGGTAAATTTGGTCAAAACTAGGTGATACTCATTTGTTAAGTTTAACCTCTAGGATTATTAGAATTACTTTGCAGGTCTTATTTGTCCCAGGACCCACTTTGTTTTCAGAAATATTGAGCACATTTTTAATTTAATTGTAGATGCAATTTTGATGGATTAAAGAGATACTAAAGTTGAATAATTAAAAATCTTTTTTTTTTTCATTTTTTTCCTTCTATACACAGAAAATTCTGATCCGTGCAGCTGCAGGAAGTGAAATATTAATTCAGAAGAAGAGTCTCTGAAGAATACAATTGATTTCACCATGCGGTTAGGAAAACCGAAGGGAGCTATTTCTAGGCGCTCAAGCCAAGGAAAACCTTATGGGAATCAGGTCAAAACAGGGCGCCAGCGGCAAAAATGGGGAATGACTGTTCGATTTGACTCGAGCTTGAGCAGACTGAGAAGAAGTTTGGATGAGAAGCCTTATAAGTGTATTGAATGTGAGAAGAGTTTCAGTCAGAGCTCAACTCTTTTTCAACACCAGAAGATCCATACTGGAAAGAAATCCCATAAATGTGCTGATTGTGGGAAAAGTTTCTTTCAGAGTTCTAATCTCATTCAACACCGTCGGATCCATACTGGGGAAAAACCCTATAAATGTGATGAGTGCGGAGAAAGGTTTAAACAGAGCTCAAATCTCATTCAGCACCAGAGAATTCATACTGGAGAAAAACCCTATCAGTGTGATGAGTGTGGCCGATGCTTCAGCCAAAGTTCCCACCTTATTCAGCATCAGAGAACCCACACAGGGGAGAAGCCCTACCAGTGCAGTGAATGTGGCAAATGTTTTAGTCAGAGCTCTCACCTTAGGCAACACACAAAGGTGCACAAAGAAGAGAAACCTCGTAAAACCCGGGGCAAAAATATTAGGGCAAAAACTCATTTAGTGTCGTCATGGAAAGCTGGTACAGGAAGGAAGTCAGTGGCTGGCCTCCGTTAAGTAAAGGGCACTGCTTTGATCCTCCTAAAGAAAAACAACAACGTAAAAAATAAAAGCAATCTCTGAAAATACTTTATAGTAGAACACTTAAATACTGTGTCCTTTCGTAGCATGCAAACTTGGCAAGTTTAATGACATTGGACTGAAAAGAATTACATGAGTCCGACTGTTACCATTTCTTTTTTATATACCATGGAGTACAAACAACTAAAAATATGTTTGAGAAAATGTAAAATCTTGACCTCCTTTGAAGTTGTTTCCTGCCATCATTTTGAGAAACAATCATGTTTGGATGACACACGTGTAACGATGTAGTAATACCAATGACTGGCTTAGATTTGGGACTGTGGGAGGCTTAATTAGGGAGAAGAAATTAATTCCATTAGTTTTTGGAACTCTGCAGCAGATGAGATTGTATGTTTGTAAAGTTTTGTAGAATATTAACCATTGGTTTCTGAGTAAGACTCAAGATTCAAGGTACTAAAATGTACTCATGTTAATGAGTAATCATGTATGCAGATTTTATAATCAAGGCCCACCACTGTTAGCTTTCTTTTGTTTCTTCCCTTCTGTTTATGGGTAGTTATTAACATAGTAGAATTTGAGGTTTTCACCAAAGTGTTTGGGAAACTGGATGCCAAAGTGAGAACTGAATTAACACCACTAGTTCTGTTTTTTGTAATGATGTTATGATGTGTCACTTGTTTTCCAGCAGCTGGGATGGATTATGTTACTCCAGCCCCTGCTTTTACCTTTGTTTGTGCTCTGACAAACTCACTTAGCCTCTTAGATCTATGTGAATAAATAATTAAACCCTATTTTACCTAAGTAGTCTCAACTTGCTAATTAAAAATCCACAATTTACATGTTTCCCCGCCTTCCCTTTTGAGACCTTTAGGTAACCATGGTTATTGAAAACAAAGGTTTGTCAACAGCAAGTCATTTAAGTCAAGTTCAGTGCATTGCAGTTCCTTTGACATTTTCCTTAACTTTTTCTCAGTTTTATAAATTATGAAATCAAGCAGACATGTTTCTTAACTTCCTTCAGAACAGTGCCAGGTGTCATTCTGATCAACCTCCAGCTCAGGTTTTATTGCTGTTAAATGTTAATGTTCTGCCCTTTTGGTATCTATGTTTAAATCATACCAGTTCCTGCTATATTAATTACATCCATAAAATTTTATCCATAAAATTTAAAAAATGTAATATTTTGTATACTACTGCTTTCTCTTTATTTTTCTGCCAGAAAATTGTCTTAATGATTAGGGTAACATCACAAATCACAGTTTTTGGAAGACTGACTGTTTTTACCTGCATTTTGAACTTTGCCTCCCTCCTACATTTGAGTGCATTCTTATGGAACATGACCTTGATGGCAGGTTCGTCCAACAGATTCACCATTTTGTGAGAATGAAGTGAGGTGATTGCTGTTACTTTTACAAAAGATTTGAACTTTGATCTCTTGGGTCCAAATTATTTGTAGCAGAGGCGTGGCTATGGGATCATTTAGAGGATCTACCTATCAGTGTTCTTTATCACAGCTTGGGTCTGTAGTAGTTTCTGACTGGAACCAACACCACTTTTAAATTTAATGAATTCACCAATTTTGGCAGTAATCACAGGGTCTTGCAACAGAAAAACCTCTGTATATTGTTGATTTCATGATTAACATTTTGATTCTAAATAGACTTTCATATTTTCTGTAAAAATAAAGCAAATACTCTGTACTTTAGTGTATTTTCAGTTTGTGGTTTACATTTCTTCCTAGAGCCATGAAACCAGAGCAAATAGGTCACTAACATTTACGGTCACCTACATTAGTAATTAACATGGTGTTGCAGACTTTTATGGGCAGCTTAGGCGAGAGAGAAATTGTAACTGCTTTAAATTAATGAATTAAAGGATATGTTCCACTATAAGAACAAGTAGTGTTACAACAAGTAGTGTTCTAGTAGTAGAGGAAAAGTAGAATATGAGCCTAATAGGCATTGTCTCTTTGAATAGTCTCATATGAAGATATACTGCCCCTCAATATTCTGCTGCATTTCTATGATAACTTAGGTTTACCAAATTGAATTCTATTATTTTAACAGACTTATACGATACTTAAATGTTTTTTTTTTGGGGGGGTGAGGGAGGGTGGGAAGATTTGGAGATGAACTACAGGGTTGTTGGGTTTTTTTTTTAAGTATTATAGAAATTTTTTAAACCCTATACGATATGTTAAAAAAAAATCCTTGCCTTCCAGAGTCATTTATTTAATCATTTAATACATGTGGTAGAAATGAAACAAATTAAATGGGTAGTCTAGTGAAAGAACAAAAACTATAGTAAAGCAAGCATAGGGTACTCTGACCCAGTGCTTCTCAACAGTTAAAACATGTTGGGGCCCACTTTCAGAATTGCTTTCTCAGTAAGTGAGCTGTAGTCAGATAATTTTCATGTTTAACAGGCTCTTAGGACACAATTTGAGAACCATTGCTATAACCCATAACAAGCATAGTGATGTGCTGGCATAAAGCTAAGGTGGGAATGGATCTCTAGGACTGCCTTAATTATCAACCTTAAGAGTGAAACATTTTGATAATAGGGTGTGGAAGTCTGGCAGAGCATAGGTTAGGTGATGATTCAGTGAGAAATAATGTCCATGTTCCTGGCAGAAAATGACTCCAGAAGAGACCCACTTGGTAAATTAGACCTACAAGACTTTACCTCTTGCCTTGGACCACAGTTCTTTACCTCTCTTCAGCCCCTGCCCCACACTGAATGACAACTCCAAATTGCTCTTTATTTTTGCTTATTCTGTTTTAACCAGTATCAATTCTGAGAGCTATACCTCCAGGAAGTTGACCTTGAATCTTCCCTAGAGGCTCTAAACTTGACTTGTAATGGTTTATATTTCATTCTCACTTCCTCACCTGGTAGTCTTTGAGCTCCTGGCTTATAGTAGACATTCTTGTTTAATTTAACATTCTTAATTTAAACATTTAACAATGTTTAAATGAAGAAGTGCCAAGAGGGAACTATAGAAAGATTAGTGGGAAAAGGTAAATTAATTCAGGAAAGTTCTAGACCCACCTAGCTACTATGTCCACCTAGATGTAGAGTCCCACCTAGAACTTTTCTTTCCCCATCTGCCATTCCCACCCTTCTATCTGTTCTCTTGGAGATCCTTGTTCACTGCATAAGTCATTAGCCTTGCACAGTACATTTTTTGAATGAATGAAGTAATGAAAGAAGAAAATCTACAAAAGGATTTAAGGAATCAGAGGTTCTTGTGACTCGAGGGGTCCCATAGGCCTCCCTCTATAATTGATGGGTTAATCTAAGACATTTGGGGTCCACTTTGTGATTGGACAGGACCTTTGTCATATTTGTTGACATCTATTTTGAATATCACTCCTGAGATAAATAGTATTTCCAGTTAAGGTATTATAAAGAGGATTGTCAGAAGATTAAACAATTGAGAAAAAGAGTGCAATAAAGTGATCAAAAGAGTCAAAGAATCGACACTACAGTTTTTCAGGTGCAGAGGGAGGAGAGATTTGCAGGAAAGAAAGGAGGGATGATTAGCAATTATCTTAAGGTCAACGCCCACCGAGCCCTTGGTAAATATTAGTGATGGGCAAGGTGCTGCAGATATAGAAGGTAGGACACTATTCCTGATTTCATGGGACAAATAGATCAGGAGGAGATAAAATACACAGAAATATTAAGAACATGAGCAATAACAAGTTATGAACAAGTTGGGGAGTCAATACCTAAGCAAGGAGCCCCCAACCCCAAGGAGGAGACTTTCAGAGCATCAGTCTTTCATGCACCAGAATTGCGGCAGAGCAGGACCTTCCTACATTTCTTACTCTTTGCTATTGTCACAGTGATGTGTTGCTCTGAGCTGTATAGTTGGACCACACTTACAATTTTCAGGAGTCAGTTTGCCTTTTCTTTGTACAACATTCAGGAACATGGTTGGTAAGTGCTCTTGAGACAAATAAGTGACACCACAGGTGCAAACCAGCAGATTAAATCCCAGGCAAATCTGAAATACCTCCAACCCAAAAGGGCACTATCTGAACAGTGGAAATGAAAGTACTCAGTCACCCAGGTCTTCATCGTCCAGGACTCAGAACTTCTGACATTTCTTTACATTACCTACAACTGTCCCTAGGTGGCAGCAAAGGCGATATAATAGAACAAACCCGTAGGCTTTGCCTCCTCCCCTACATTATATTTGAAAATGGGGGCTACACCTGAGAAAAGAAAGCTAATATTGTTTTAAAATGAACAATGATGTAAAATATATATAAATAATTTTTTTAAATAAAATACTATATTTAAAATGTTAAAAACTTGAGCCACTCTTTAAAGTCAGTTGGGATTCTGTAAATTGTCTTTGAAAATGCAAGCATCATTTTGAATATGACTTCCATTTCTGCTGTAATTTAGATATCAGTTTTAAAAGAACAAGATTTTTCCTCAGCTGTGTCCAGTCTACCAATGATCATCAAAGGCATTCTTCATTGCTCTTAACACTGTTTTTATCTTTAGCACCTCTTTGTAGATAGATCTCTCTTAGAATTTCCGTCTCTGCTTACGTTACCCAATTGTTTTCACATGATGCCTAATTTACCCAAAAGATCCCTTTCTATATTAATCATTGTTGTTTCAAATTCCAAATGTGATAATAGCAACATCCCTTCCATGTGTGGTGCTGACGCGCTCTTGTCTCTTCAAATTGTGGGGGGGGGGGGTTGGTTTTTTTGTTTGTTTTTGGTGTGCCTTTAATAATGAATGAGCTTATTTCTTCCTGAGAGCCAAACATGCTACACCGGTGTTTTGCAACAATCCCAGGTTGGGTAAGTTCATTGTCAGTTCTCCTAGATGAAAAGATAATTTTGGAGCCTTCAGTAAATTTCTCATGCCTTTACTGCTGAATCAGGGGACAGGACAGTCTTCTCAGTATTTGGATGTCTCCTCCTGTAACAGGGTGGTCCCAGGAAAGGGGATTTCAGGTTTCCTGCCCCACCCAAAGGAGGATGCAGCTGAGCAGGGAGAAGAAGCTGCAGAGGGAACGGAGGAAGGAAGGAAGAAGGATGGAGAGTCAGAAGGAGACCGGGAGGAGGCACATGGAGGAGACAGACAGGTGAAGAAACTGCGCTTGCCTTTTGGTCATGGACTGGGTGACACAGACGTGGGTGAGACCCGTGGGGAGGATAACAATAGCAGCTTTTTTTTTAAAATATATTTTATTTTTATATTCCCCATACAATTGCAATCCCCTTATTTTGACCCCAATCCCTCCCCTCCCCGCCCCCCACTCCCCATAGAGTGTCTCTGGTTCATAGTTTTTTGTTGATTTTGATTTTCACTTTCTTATAGTTATTCTTTTTCCTGGTCCCTTATTTAAGTTTTCTAGATTCCTGCTATGAGTGAGACCATCCGGTATTTTTCTTTTTCTTTCTGGCTTATTTCGCTGAGCATGATCCCTTCCAGCGCCATCCATGTTGCTGCAAATTGCATGTGTTTATCTTTTTTGAATGCTGAGTAATATTCCATGGTGTATATGTACCACATCTTCTTGATCCAGTCCTCTATTTTTGGGCATTTGGGCTGTTTCCAAAGCTTAGCTAACAATAGCAGCTTTTATCTTGATTTTGATTTTGCTCTTTTCCTCCCAGATGTGTCTGGTTGTTTCTGATTCTTTTCTGTGGGTCCTTTTCTGTGAAAGACTAATTCTCAGTTGTGTTCATGACCAGAGATTCCTGTACAAATGGTGGTTAGCGAGCTTACTTGGAATAATTTGTAGCATTTAAACATGTTGGTGTTGTGACTTACTTTATGCTTCACTTAATTTTTGCACCACTGAAAAGTGCTTTAGACTTGGGGCAGGCTTTTGGGCCTTGTTCTGGGCCAATTCTGCTTGGGTGGACTTTTACCCACGAGGAGACGGGTAACTTTGGGTGCTTGATTTAGAAACTAGATTCTTTGCCTTACCTGTATTGTTTCCTAATTGTATTAAAGTTCCTTCCCATTAAAGTCTCATATGTTTTGTGTTGATGCGGCGGATGGCAGAACCTAGTTAGAGCAAGCAGGTTTGCGGGGTCTGGGCTGCCCCTCTCCCTGCCTCCCAGCATCCCTAGTCACAGTTGCGGGAGCAAGACCACAGTGTTGGTCATAAATGCTAATGGTGGGAGGGCGTAAAAAGCCTGATTAACTCCGTTTACCCTGTGTAGCACCAGGAAGGCCACAGAGCAGGTTTTCTATGATTGGAGCAGGTGGGTGAAGGAGGAGTCTTGGAGTCCTCGATGGCTTTTTCAGGGTTTTATTGAGTTTACCAGGTATACGGCAGGCAGGAGTGGGGGGTGGGAGGGGCCGAGAGGCCAGGAGGCTGGCAGGTCTCCTAGCCCCCAGCAAGTCTTCACTCTTTCTGGGCTCTCCAGCATTCTCTCGTGGCCTCTGCTTCTTTGCTATCTTCTCTTGTTCCTTCTGCTGGCGTCCCCATGACTCCGCACTTACAAGCCCAGTCTTAGCCCAGGTATATGCCATCTACGTGTGCCCACACCCTACTCCAGGTGCCCGCCATCAGGCATGCATTTAATCTAATGGCGGGAGGGTGGAAAAGCCTGATACTTTACTTACCCTACACCCCGCCACTGGTAAAAGGAGGTGCTATAGATATGCCTGTAATAAAGCGGCAGCGAGGTGTCAGGAAAGAGGCACATTCTACAGTCTTATGACTCGAGCCCCCTAGTTTACTGAGCCTGCGCCTCTGGAGTGTGGATTTCCTAATTGTTCCTCAGGTTTTCTTCTGCCCCCACACAGGTTGGCAGGATGGATAGAGCCAGCGGGAGCCCTCCATCTCCCAGGTGAGTTAAGTTCTGATTTACCTAACAGGTTAGGCTCTGGTTAATTAATTTCCCCTGCATGCACCTTATTAAGAAGAGAAGACACGCTGGCTTATTTCA